ATGTTAAATGTCGGAAAAATCAGTCTAATTAATATTTTGAGAGTAATTTATGATATTTCCTTATATTTTTTTTACTGTTTCGTCCAAATAAAAAACAAGTACGAATATTTTGAAATAAAAACCAAAGAATCATAATGCAAGGGGAATCCATGTCATTTTGACAGATACATGATAAATACTTTTTAATAACTGGGTAACTTTCTGTAATTATATTGTTAGTGCATATGTATAAACATATTTTTACCGTATTAATTTATTAAATAAATATTGTCTTGATATTGAATTCAAGAAAAAACGGTTATGTTTCTAACCACAGTGATTAATGTAGTTGTTCAAAGTATATGGGAATGATTTCCATTTTTGATATTCTACATAACTCCAAAGCGAAAGATGTATAATTATCGTAAAAAAAGCTGTAAGAAACAAAGCCAAAACGATACGTATCAATATATTCTATAAGGTAGAAAGTACTTGGATTGTCATGTTTCAGTACTTTTTGTGCTTTTAAAGAAAAATTGGAATAATTTTAGATTTATCCCATTGTTTGCTAGTTTGATTTTCCCTTTTGAAGTTGGATTGAATGCCTGTAACTGAATAAAAAAAAAGCATTTTTGAGCGTATGATATTGATATGTAAGACAACATTTCCATAGAATAAAAAATTTCGAAAATTGACTATGATGAAGACCATTTTAGTAAAATATCTGATGAGTTTTTAATTTGCATTAAGTATTTGGTAATCATTCAGTATTTACTAAAGAATTATACTTGTAGTATATGCTACTGATGTCGACAAATATAAGTAGTATGTATCATCAATCGAAAGTGAAATGCCTGGAGGCAGAAGGTTAGGAAGATCAAAGAAAATAGAGCGAAAACAAAGAGTGATTGATGTGGAAACGAAAGAGAAATTAATTCTGAGACGATTGATTGATATTTTAAAACGGAACAGTCATGTTTAAGGCAACTGATTAACATTTTGCAAATGAAGTATATACTGTATGATTCTCACATTTCACTAAGATGTTCTATAATTTTGTATTCAAATCCTTTGGATTGTTCTCACTTGTGTTTTCGTTTACTACATATTTACTTTCTTGAACTATTTCTTGGTATATATATATGTTGTCACTTTCTATGTACTGCAATCCAGTTATTCAATGACATTGTCATTTGGGTCAATCAGTCAATTTAATTCATTAATTTTTTTTATGAATAACAATCTTATCTAAATAGATTTTATTTGTGGATAAACCTATTTCGGGAAATATAAAGATACAAAGCCTACTGTCATATTTTATCCAATAACAATGAATGAAAATGCGTACTTTATTTCAAGAAATAAGATTTACAATTGAAATGTATTAACACATTGTTTGTAAAGACCATTATAGAAAAGCATAGCATGGTGTATGTTAATTATGTTGATAAATATGAGTAGTATGTAGTGGAGCTCCTGAGCGTAGAAAGTTGAAAAAAATTGAATTTCGGAACAGCAGAAAGGGAATCAGAGAATTTGAAGGAACCATAGAGTATATAAAGGACAACTGAAGAACAATGTGAAAGCCACTTTGTAATTTCGCCTTTATCAATAATTTGACTATCCTCGCCAATGTTTCCGTTTACTATAAGACTTTTTTTAAATATTTTTTCCACCTTGGATAAAGAAATCTTTAAACAAATTGACTCATATTATATTTCTTTTTAAGAACTGTTTATCACTAATTAATAACAGTTGATTTTATCCACTCAGTTACTGAGTCCTGATAGCCACTTGCTTGTGCAATGGGATGAAGTTTACACTCACTTGGTATTGTTTACTTGAATCTCCTCATTAATGTTTAGGACTTTAATTGATCAATCTCTTATTAGTTTACATTTCTATGAGTAACCTTCTATTTCATTAAAATGATTTGATTACCATTGTTTAAATATAGAAAATATATATTCATATATAACTTTTACTAACCCTATTTACATGTATTAGAAAGGTTGAAAACATTTTCAAATAGGTTTGGTTCAGTGATTTTTTTCTCTTTTGATAAATTTATTTGTTTATTTCTATATGTTATTAAGAACATCTACTGTATCTACTATTTATTTATTTTGATACAATGATTATTAATAAGACCATTTTAGATAAACAGATCTTGTATTAGATTAAATTTTAGCTAAGATAAACAATACACTATTTAGAGATCATAAATAACTATTCTAATAGTTGAAATCATAATCCAATTGAAGCTAGACCATTATGGAAAACCTGCAAGCACTGGATGGCCGTTTCGTCCCAGTGTGGGACTCTTCAGCAATGCGCATCCACGATCCCGCCCCGCAAGATTCGAACCCAAGACCTATCAAAAAATTAAATCAACTGAACAAAATTGTCATCTTCCACTATAATCTACTTTTCGTTCTTATGACTAAAATCCAATGTAATTTTGCCTAAAATTAGTCAATTATTTGGTATAGTCTCATGTCTCAAACCAAAGAATAAGGTATGCTGACATATAAGGTTTAATGCCTTCTTCATCTATGTTGTATTTTGATAATTTACTTCAGATTAAAATCAATACGTAAATCAGTCCATCTTGTTTTGATTACACAAACACTGTTTTAAAAAATTCATTTTTTGTTTTGTGGTTAATTCCCAAACAAACTGTTAGTAATGAACGTATCGACTTCACTTGAAGATATAAAAGAACTGAATATTACATATGAGCCTGTATAAGCTGAATTAAACCGATAAATAAGTTAAAGATCTCAAGACTATTTCATCCTAGTGCACGTAGTATTATTTAACTGAAGACATGTTTGATTTTCTAATGAAAGTGTATCATTGTTCAACATTTTTTAACAAAAACCCATCAAAGTGTATCTTCCACAAGAGCAAAAACGTTTAATAAGTCTTTTTTTATCATAAATATTTGGGATGCTAATAACTGAATTCATTTACTATTTGAATTGTTTATTTCAAGACTAGAATTTATTATTTAGTCTCTTACAGATATCGTTTCACCATTTATTAAATTACTTTCACATAGTTTTACAATCTAAATAAAATTCCGATTCTTACTATTATACATTATATTCTTCTTACATATTGAATATCTATTTTCGTTGTTTGTTGGAACATAAATCTATTATCATGCAAGAGACAAATAATACTATTTTTAGGAAATATGTCTTCACAGATATTTATTAACATTAGTGAGCCAAAAACTCTAATATAATAGTGGTTAAGTGAAAAAAGTTAAACAAAATTAAACAAAAGAATCATTGTGTCTCGTGAAATAAATGTTTTCTTAAGTAGTATATCCACGTGACTATATATAAATATATATATTTGTTAGAATATTTCATATCGATTATGAGAAAGCATTTGATAGCGAGGATAAATAAAATCTTATTCGACACCCCGGCATACATGAGAATATCGCCAAAATCATCTGTAATTCATAGGACGGACTACACTGCGAAGTTGTACATAGAGAATAACTGACAGATGCATTCCATGTGAGGACCGGAGTCAGACAAATCTGCTTACTCCTCTCCTTTCTTTTTCTTCTGGTAGTTGACCTACATATGTAAGGGGAATCACGGAATAAAATGGACAGGTTGGATGAAACTACATGATTTGGAGTTCGCAAAAGATCTAGTTCTTCTATTCTATACACATCAACAAATACAAATGACAACAACCAGTGTAACAGCAACCTCTGAATAAGTAGGCCTCACCATACGCAAAGAAGAGGCAAGATCCCCAATTAAAACATGGAGAACACCAACCCAATCACACCTGATGGAGGAACTCTGGAATAGGTGGAAACTTTCACTTACCTAACTGGACAGCATTATCGATGAATAAGGAGGATCCGATGCAGACGAAAAACCATGGATCGGCAAAATATAACAGTATTCTCACAGATGAAGAACATATGGAACTCAAAACAACTGTCAACCAACATCAAAGTCAGGAAAGACGCTGGAGGTGGATGGAAAATACATTGTTGCAATCAGCAAACCGCATCATGAGGCAAGCCTGAAATCGGTATACTGAATGGAAAAGGAAAAGAGGAAGACTAAGGAACTCATTGTTGTTGAAATAAGAAGCAGACATCAAAAGAATCAAAAGCAACTAGAAATGAGTGGAAAAGATCTTCCAGGACAAAGTTGGATGATAATGGTTCGTCTATTCTCCTTGACGAAGCGGTAACAATAGTATGTAAGCAGGTAGAATGTTTCAACAAATGACTTAGTTTTTTATTACTCATCATTCATTTGTACTTAACTTTCAATATTATATTACGAACCCATTATTCAATTGTTTATGCCTGCTGACGATGTAATATGGAAGTAAACATTCTCAGATACTTGGTTATTTCAGCTAAAACTTAGTTTATACAAATAGAACGGAGTACCTAATACGTATTGTATTGGTTGTTTGAATCTAGACTCAGTAGCTAAATAGTCAACGCGTTGGTGTTTGAATCGAAGGGAATGGGGTTCCAGTACTTGAGTGAACATCAACTCGATTGATGGAACACTCAGCTGACGAGTCTCAAATATGACGAAGCTCTCGTCCTGGATCCCATTACTAGCTGCTATCCATACCTGCCTACACTAAGTGTCTAAGTGATGTAAAAAACTACAAATGTTATTCAGGCGCTGATATTTCAAAACGCGTTTACAACAAAGAATAATACACTCAATTTCATATATTCTTGTACTTACATGTTTTCTGAATTTTCATTATGAATGCTATCTAAGTCACGATTGGTAAAATACAAAGTGATGAAACGTGTCTGACGATCACATGTTTAGATGAGATATTTTTCAATACGACCTTGTTGAATAATTCATATTACTAATTGTTTGATTTGAATGTAGGTATCTGAAAGTTATTTATTGGTCGACAAGAATTGTAATACACAGTTTGACTTACCTAATTAGAGAAATAAGTTTATTTTTCAAACTTTTACTGTTTGTTTTTCGTTTCAGGTTACAAAAGAAATATTCCAGATTGGCCAAGATATTCGTTACAAGGCGATTCAGGTCAAGGTGTACATGATTTACTAATTCAAAATGTTAGTCGTGAAGATGCTGGAGTGTATGAATGTCAAGTTTCACCTGTTGCTGGACAAAATCCACTTCGACGTCAAACCCTATTAGTTATATTAGGTATTTAAATCTGTGAATATCAAATATTAAGTTCTTTCACCGTTTTAATTCATATTTTAAAACAATCAGGAAGCTTGAAATTTTTGTAATCGTTAGAAATCCTTTTTTTAATATAACCAGGATGAAAATTAAAAGCTTTGAGAGTAAATGTTTGATTAAGTGATCTTCACTATTCAAAAGTAATTTTTCCATATTAAAATTTAATGAGAAACACAGGAAAGTAATAAAAGATATCATACGGATAATATCAGAAGTGTTCGCAACACTTATGGGAACCACATAGCTTATGGAGTTCATAGTTGGAATAAATTGCATTTGTAGCCAAACGTAAGCTTTAAAATTCCTGATGTTTAATACTTCTCCGAATCTAAGAATCCCCCTACACTGATAATTTCTATGTAAAGGTCTACAGATATCTCACTGTCAATATCACAACTTCTTTAAATTATAATCTTGCTTTAGAGGACCCTGTCTGTCTACTATACTGACTCATGTTGATTTGTGACAATGGACAACTATGGAACCGTTTAAGCCTGTGTCCTAACAATTTGGGCCTTTTGACTCCTAATTATTGAACCATGTCAATAAAAACATGTAAAGTGGTGCATGCAATCGGATGTGATTATTTGATTTGTGCGATATTCATGCGGATGTCATCTCAAGAGTTTGTCACTATCGACGGTGACCGATTTTGAAGTCGACTTTTATCAATAATGAACTGTTATAACGGTGAACAGAATATTTATTGCCCGAAGTAAAGTAGACGTACATCTGTCACCAAACAAATTGGTAGTTATCTACTATCCATATTCAAGTTTAATACAAAATCATCACAAATTTCTCTTCTCAGTATTTAGTAAAATTTATTAAAATAATATACAGTCTAATGAACATGTATTGTTTTATTAGATTGATGATTTATAACCTAGTATTAAACTTAATTAAATCAAAGATGTTTATAATTGTCTAAATCTTGTGAAATATTTCGATTTTATGGTATCTTATGTTTATATTATTTTGATTAGAAACTACAATATGTGAAACTTTTTATACGACAGTTTCTATGGTTACTGCAACTACGATAGTATTTGACGCTGTAGAAAAAGAGAGATGGCTGTTTAAAGGAGATTATTTAGAGTCATTTATTGTCTGACGTATTTAAAATATCGGTTTTATTTATTGCAAATGCATGTGCAGCAAATTCTTACCAAAAAAGTCACCATATCGTTGATAATCTTTGCACCAAAATTTGCCTAAGAAATGTTTAAGCTCCGTTATTGGTTGCTCGAGCTTCGTTGCACATATATACAAATTGAAATCTAGTACTAAGAATAGCTGAAAAAATTTCATTGTTCAAACATATTTACTTCAGATATTTCTGATCATTCTGAACGAAGACGAATGATTTGTGCTAAGTTGCTACTTACCATATATAGATCTACATATAATTAAGACATCTGTCAATAGCCAAGAACAGAATTTACCGAGGATCTATTGGTATTAACGTAAAAGTAACATTTATTTCACTAATATATGAGTTGCTCAATAGGGTCAGTATTAAAATTTAGAACACGAAATTTATTCTAAATACATTGGTGTTTGCACAGTATATTATATATATACTTTAAAATACGAATGGATTATATTCAATTAAATAGTGGGGTTTATTTGTTCTTTGTAAAGTGAAACCAAAAATACCAAATATTGTGACTTTACCGGGTGTACCACAACCATCGGCCAATGGACAATTGATTGTAGCTTTTGATTCCAATAAAACAAATCCCATGAATAACAATCCATTAAAATTAATTTGTCAAGCGAAAGGCGGTTATCCTACACCGAAGTTTGAATGGTTTCATAATGGAAATCTTATTTCAGCATCAGGAGATTTAGATGAATTACAGAATGTCAATGAAGAAATACATTCACAAAAAATAACTAAAGATCAGTTTGAATTGGAAATTGATAAAACAAAACTTTCAACTCGAGATCGTATTGTGTGCCTAGTCAGTAACAAAGCAACAATGCGTTCAAATCACCTATTTGAACAAAAGCTTAGAGCTGAAGTGATGATTGTTATCCACTGTGAGTTATGTGAACTTTTGATATTTATTGCTAATACTAATTTGTAGAAACTAGATATTAATATGTTCAATATTACACAAAACCTGATTGTTATCCCTAACAACAATTTTCTTAATATATTTAAAGAACATTCATAAACATTTCCTAGTTTATCAGTAAACGTAACAAAGTTTTTTTCAAAGATTTGCTAATCACCATTATGCAGCTATTATTCTGATTATAAGATAAAATCATTTGGTCAATTGAAGCCTCAGTGATTATTCTTATACAAAATGAATTGACAAATTTGATTAATTATGCAATATGTCACAATTATTAGTTGATAGATGACATATAAGTAAAGGTTAGATTGTCATCTGTCATACAACTAATAATTTCAATGAATTTAATATACATCAACTCAATATAGAAAACTATCATTCATCTCTTCAGTTCGAAAATAACAAAATATAAATAAATATGTAATTGAACAACAACAAAAAAGAGGATCTCAATGATTTTATATATAAAGAGAAATAGAAAACAACAGAGTACAAACCTAGTGGAAACAAAATAAGAAAGATCAGTTCAGCGAAGAGTTCCGCTTTCGGTGAATTCATTTTCAAGGCTGTACAGTCGCAAATATATATACTTATGTTTACAGGATGATAATAATACTGATAAAAAACTTCTATTAGACATTGTGACAGTAATGTTAAATACACAAAGGTATTAAAAAAATTTCTTTATAAAGCATTGAAAGTTTAATAATCATTTGATTGTTAATGGCTTATGTATTCATCAAAATTTGATTGGGAAAATTATCAATGGGAAGGGATGGCTCAGCATGATAAGATAAAATGTTGAATTCGAGATTAAATGTAATCAGGAGGATCATAGAAACAGAAATAAACCCGTTGTGGTTTGAAGATTTAAGGAGAAGATGGAAGGAGGAGCAGATATCCATAACGGAAGAAGAGTATGAAGATAAAAATTTACATGACATTAAGACCATGGTAGAAAAAAAGATTGTACCAATCTCATTTTGACACACCGTACTGGTTTTCCTAGATGTATGGCTGCTGCTACCTCAGCAATGCTAAGAATATGAAATATAGTTATTCTTATCATTCTGAAATAATAAGCGTATATATTTGCGATTGTACAGCTTTGAAAATGAATTCACCGAAAACAGAACTCTTCGCTGAACTAATCTTTCTTATTTAGTGTCTTAATGGGTGTATTCTGTTTACTAAGGAACAAAGTCAGGTAGTTAACTTGAAAAGAACTAGTTTTCAGACACTTCAATTGAAATTTTTCGAATATTTATTAAGTAAATGAAGTGAATTTACAAATTACAAATTGTATGAAGCAAAAATTCTAAAAAGGATCATTTACTACCAATGAATAAAACAAAGTTTCAGACATCTCTACCTCCTACATTTAATAAAGTACTAACTATAAGATGTTTACATTCATTAAATTACAATGTTATTTTATCAATAGTTTTATTCACTCCTTAAAATGATTTTTTTTCTTAAAAAATAAAATTATTTAATAAAATAATTTCATACACATAGTTCCCTTTATCATTTTGAAGAGAGGAAGAACACAGATTCTAGCAGAATAGCATGAATTCATTTTATTTCGTAGGTTCTTGTCAGCTGCTTACAACCTGTGATATTTAAAAATCATAATTACATAATGGGTTTAAATTGCTTACTGAATATTATAAATGTATACCTAATGTGAAAGAATATTCTACAACATTAATTGTGACAACAGTTCAAAAGTGGGTTAGAAACAATTGATTACATAATGAATAAAATCCGTATATATTTTGTAGTACCTGGCTGTAGCCAGTGTTATGGTGCTTTTATTATCCACTTCCTAATAATTGTCGTAATTTGCCTTAGTTAGGAATAATATATGGGGTTTTCATCACGAACTGACATCAGCTATAATGCCAGAAATTTATTTAGCGTTAAAATCTGATATATATTATCTTATACCTGATTGATTCGTCCACAAATTATAGTCCCACCGTTTAATTTGTTATGTACAAAATTCCCTGTGAACCGAATGTACGTTAGCATTAAGCACTGAAGTTGGCGCCGTAACCTTGAAATCTCTAAAACGCCTCTGATTGGCTCGTCCATAAATTAGAGTCTCGCCTCGTCTTCCCATTGTACATTATATGAATTTGGTTATAACCATTAAAACTTTTCAAATATCCCACTTTTTAACAAACCATTCATGGAAACAAACATTTTTTCTGATCCGTTTTTACAAAATAACTAAAACTTTAAATCATTTTAAATATTAAAATAAACTTGATTCTTTTTTTCTCTTTTCCAAGTTACATTCTGAACAATAAAAACTGACCAGTAAAATAGAAAAAAAAACTATTTTACAAACAATAGAACAGAGTGTATAAATATTTTTTCTCCAAGTTAAATAGGTTTCTGTAAGGATTAAAATGGAGAAAAAAAAGAATGTGTGAGTGTATCATGTGTTGCGTGAATTATAATTCTCCGCTTGATTAATTAATAGTTTCTTTAGAGATTTGCTGAATGTCTTGTTTTCTTTATTTTTCTTTCTTGTAATCTTATCATTGTTACTATGACAATTTTCATAGTTTACTTTTGAATAAATCAACTAATGATTGACATTTATGCAATTAAAAAAACAAAAAGAGTTAATAGTGCTGAATAATAAAGCTGCCATCAGTCTGAATGAAAAATATATTCCTTCTTTTTTAGAAAAAATATATTGCATTATATATTTATTACGCTTTTATTACTTTGAAAATTTGCCAGTACCTAGAAGAAAATTGAGAAATAGATTGTGTAAAATAAAGTGGAGAATTCAAATTGAACCATAATAATCTATTGAAATTAGAAATCTTGTTGTAATTCTCTTTGAATATAGTTGTTTATTAATTCTGGCATTTATGAGAAGCAACTAAACAGTTCATACCCAATTACCATTATTATTATTATTATTATTATTATTATTATTATTATTGTCAGATCACTCAATACATTTGTCTTGGCTTGAAATGTAAAATATTTCATCGTAGAATTTCCACCATTAAAGACTTGGACAACAAAAATATAAAATAAAATTTCACAGTAGTGATTTTTATTTAACTGTTTAAGTTTATCGGACAGTACAATGTTTACGCCATTTGACATATATTTCTTCATCTGTTAGTGGAGCACTAACAATACTTTTTTTTCATGAATGAGTTGTAATATAGTTACATTTGTATCATCATACATTAAATGAGTAGGAAAATGTACACAACAATCAAGTGTCCCTTCTTGAGTATTTCAGTATTCACCAAGTAAATTATATAACGAACCGACTGTTCGTAAAACAACTTATTTATTTATATAAACAGAAAATACATAGCTCAAAAATTGTAATAGGCCACGACTATTCACATTGTCACGGCATAGTTCTTTTATGGAAGTCCCAATTTTCAAATGCACCATGTTCAAGATCTATGACTTCCAAATAATCGTACAAAATTAGATGAGCATAGAGAATCCAGTAAAAAATAATTTAAAAAAGACAAAACCTTAATTAAACTTATATCATTACAGATTAACATGATAAATTCATAGAAGCTAAGCCTTTGGCGAATTGGTATTTCATAATTACTTAAACGTATTCCTTGCATCAGTTACTTCGTCTAATAATAAGAAATAAAAACTTTTGATTGACATAATTAAATTTATTTTCGGTAAGACTATAATTTATGGACGACCTTTAAGCGACGCCAGATTGACCTTGAGAGTGTCATCCTAATAAGCAGGACCAAATAAGGGTTATGAACCTGTGTGTGGAATTAGAATTATAATTTACATCACTAACTGATACTAGCTATAATGCCAAAACTTTATTTATCCAAATGGATCAGTGAATTTCGTGCCAAAATCCGAGACCCGTTATCTTATACTTTATTGGTTCGTCCGTAAATTATAGTCTCGCCTTATTTTCCTTTTCACCTTATACGGTTTAACTTAATACTTTTACATATTTCTGAATACCACTTTATTTCTAGCTTTACCAGGTGATCCAGAAATTATTGACTGGGATAAATTCACAAATGAATCTACAAGCTTACTTGTTGGTTCAACAGTTGAAGTTACATGTAGAGTGACTCCACCTGGAAATCCTCCTGGTCAAGTTGTATGGCGCTTCGAAAATCCTTATTCTAATATGAACCTAGATCAGTTAAACGTTTTTAGAAATGATTTACAAATACCATCAATAAAGAATGTTATTTCTATTACGAATGAAAATGTAATCAACCAAATTACAGATGAAAAAATTTTGAGCCGACTAAAAATTACAAATCTTAATTCAACAATGCATGGTTTAGATTTAGTGTGTGCTGTTCGACATCAAGTTGGCCCAGAGAAAACGACAAGGAAACGAATCTGGATTCGACGTAAGCTAACACCTTTTATGTATTAAATATCAAATCGGTTAATAGCTTGTTTCAACAAAATGCTTTTAGGAACTTGTGTACTACTTTGATGTCATTTTAATATCATTGCCTATTCAGTCATTTCATGTATAGCTTCATCCAATAGTATTTTGCATGCTATTTAACTTTTGTTTTAAAACTTCAGTTAAGTAAACACAAAAGTATCGTTTCGGCAACTGCTTATTGGGCTAGATAACTACGAATTGAATCTATTTTATTTCAAATATATTAACTAATCAGTTAAGCGAACTGTAGCTTACAATAAATTTGCTTTCAAGCTATGCAAAGGTGAATAAATAAACAGTGTATAACAGTAGCCGGTGTCTTAGATTGTGTAAAACTCAATTTTGACATTCAAAGGCATCAACTGAAAATGGTATATACGTTCTAAATAACCAAACAATCGTTCAATGGTAAATTTAAATGGTCATATAAAAATGAGTAATAAAAATATACCTTTAGGTGTTTAGGTATATTTAACAAAGTATCATGATATACATCTAATGCAAATTAAGAGAATTACCAGTTTACAAGTTTGTGCCAAAGTACTTACATCGGCAGAACAGAAAGGAGGGTTCCTGTTTGCATTGAAGAGCACAATTATCAAAAAAATGATATCAAAATGTCAAAATATTTTCAACATTTCTATACCCCGCCATCTGCTTGGTAGGTGGATACGATATTGTTATGATAAAATCGTCCACATAATCAGCAGCCAAAAAACTTCGGATTTAATATGTTACGCCAATACTGTTACAATTAAAATGTTGAAAAAAAAGGATCCTATGAAACGGTTGTAAATCTCTCATTACATTAGTAATCCGTATATTTTTTATTGTCCTACTACGTAATATCTTATATCACATTTGCGATAATGAGTCTTCTTTACCTTCAATCATCTTACTCTGTTATTCTTCTAAGAAGTGCACTGTTATTACGTATCTTGGACATTGTTATTCCTCCTCTAGAAACGTGTCTTTTCTTTCTTTATTCACATAGAAGAGTTATGTCCCGTACATAGAGATACTACTAGGAATATTAAGTAAGACTAAACAGATTAATATGCAGTGAAGATTGTTTTGTAGAAAAGGGAGGAAATATATCTACATGGATTGGGATTGCGAGTAACAGTTTATAACATACCAATGGTAAAAAAAATTAGACTGCTCATAGCATAACTTCATTTTGAGATACACTGACCAAAGTAGGCTTAGTATCCACTTGGTATTTTGTTTCTCAGTATGGTGCTTCAACTCAAAGCTATTCACTTTAGCGTACTAAAAGAAACTATATTAAGATCTAATAACATTTGGTGACCGTCAATAAATTTCTAGTCGGTTATTCTACACATTAGACCTTGTGTGTTGCTAAGAACTTAAACAAAATGACTGAAATTTCATAATGATTTAATAATATATTTAAATTGTTTTGATGGTCCTGATTTCAGAATTATGTTTTACAGTTTAGAAGAGAAAACGGTGGTAAATGATACATTTGAACAACATTGAACGAAGAAATCAGTGCAAACCAATTTTTATTAGCACTCACTATCTGTACATCCAGACAAAATCATATTTCAGTCAGAAATAAACGCAACTTACCACAAGCTTAATGAATACTTCACTTAAAATATTGAAAATAAAAGTTTGAACTAGTGGAAAACATATATATGTAAACGAATAAGTTATCAAGTATTTCGTTAATGAACATTTAAGCGAGTAATAAAAATAAACAGTGTATTTAATGGAATCAGTCACAAAGGCCGCTTTCTGCAAGCATAATGATATATATATATATATCAAAGTATAAGCAAGTTATTATGGACTAAAATAAAAGCTATTTCCTAAGTCGTTTAATTCAATGTCTTAATAAGTTCAAATATGTTTAAGCAAGTTTTGGGTTAAAGCTACTATAATGTAATGAATATTAACATTTAATACTCTCAAGCATACAATTTCGAACAAGCCATATCCAAAGTTATATTTCTTTTTACTTGCGTTGAATCTCTATGCTTGTTTTGATTTTTTATTGAACCGATTGATGTTAGACCACCATTAAAAATCTGGAGGTACTGGACAAAGGTTTCGTCCTAATATGGCACTTCTCAATAGTGTGCATCCACGAACCCAGAGCCTTTAGTCTTGTGCATAAACGCTTAACCTCTAGACCATTGAGCCGGTATACAACGGTGTTAATGTCTAACGTTAACCAATCCACAAAATTGCGCGACCATCTTGTTTTAATTGGCTAATTACTTGTGCTCAAATGTTGAAGAATTTAATAGCCATATTCCTGACATGTAAACATTTATTAACGAGTCACATTAAATATAAATAACCAATAAAAATAATAATAATAGTAATAAATCAGTCGTTTAGGTAAATAATAATCCATAGTTTCTCGTCTAATCATTGGTTTGTAGTAAATGAATTTTAAATTCCAATTTACTAACAACAAAATCTAATTAAATACATACATATTAGTCTGTTTAAAACAACAACACTTAACCAATACACACCAACATAAAAATCATACATTATTTAACTACTTTAAAATAACAAAAAAAAAATATTAAAGATATTTTGTATAAACCTACGGAACATTTTATTTCGTTTATCTTTTCTTCGTCTTTTTTTCTCGATGTTTTTTTTACGTTTCTCAGGTTTTCTTCTTCATCTAATCATCGTTATTTTCTTTTTTCTTTTCTTTTTTTTCATAAATGTAATTTACGCTGCGGATGTTGAATAAATTAAAAATTCATATTTTCTATATTAAAATTGAATTTATGTAAATCTTTAACTTTAAATGTTTGTAGTGTACTTTCTCGTTCTAAACAGTTAAAATTTTATAGAAAGAGGAAGTATAATTAAACTTAGATGTAAAATTTTTTTTATTTAAGATAACCATAATTATAATTTATAATTTAGGTACTTTTGCATAAATTAGTGATTATATAGGTATGCATAAAGATACATTTGAAATAATCTTATTGTTTAAGAACAAACGAACGAATTCCATTTTGAAAGCTTCTGAATACATTACAAAACTTTTAGATTGTATTGGTGAGCATAGTGGAGGAAATATTTATAGGGGGAATTTTGTAGAATGAAGATTACGAGTTATGATTTCAATATATCAATGACACCTTCAAGCTAATATGTTATATATACATTTACATATATATATCAAATGTGTTGCAATACGTTTACCACACTTTTAGCCAAAGAAGGGAAGCTAGAAATATGTTTTGTGAACTTCATTGTTTAAATGTTTTACTAACAAAGCACTCTTCATCTCTTATTTGCAAAGCAAGAACAGAATGTAAAAATATTGATGAGACTTAACTGCGAAGATATCACCGAAACAACGTAAATGTGCACCGCATCATATATATATATATATATATATATATATATATATATATATATATATCAATGAAAAGGTTAGGGACACATGAAACGTACTTTACACCTATCATGACAATTTATTAAGTAAGTAACACTGTTGAATGCCGTCTCAGTGGTCTAGTTGGTTAAGCGATTGGCGCAAAACTGATAGATCCTGGAGCCGAATCCCGCTAGGCAGGGTTGTGGATGCGCTCTACTGAGGAGTCCCACAACAGGACGAAACGACTGTCCAGTGCTTTCGGGTTTTCCATGGTGGTCTAGCTTCAATCGACTCATGGTCTCAACTATTGAAATTAATAATTTTATTCAAAACCTAGTAAACTTCTGCACAACGATGAACAATATGTCTGCAGCTTGAAAATATTATATTCTAATATTGATGTATTTTAAACTGATATTATTTAATCATAAACGCTTTGGACTACATTCCATACATTTTTACAAATCTATTTATTTTGATTTAGATAAGTTTAATATGGAAAACTAACACTTTTAATTTTAAAGATTAGAAAATTTTTGAGAAGCATTATTGTCTTATTAAATATCAGTAAACTAAAACTGGTCTAAATTCACTTGGTGTTGTTTTACTTGCATCTTACCATTTTTATTTCGGACTGCAATTGATCAGTCTCCTGTGGGCTAAAGAGTCCCAAATGGAACGAAACGTTCGTCCTGGATTCTATTGCTAGCCACTATATATCTTTGTTTAAAACTGGTCTATTGAAAATCGATAAATCAGTAGTTGTTGTTGTTGTTTGTGTTTTTTTTACAAATTTAAGCAGCTGATGAGAACCTAACGAAATAAAATGAATTCATATTATTCTGCACCAATCTTTGTTCTTGCTCTATTTAAAATACAAATTATTCTTGATTAAAATTTAATAGCTTTGGTAAATTTCGATGATGCAATGAAAAGACGAAGGGTATCAGAACTATGTGATATATTTACGGAATACATTTCAAACAATCTGATTACACATATACTTGTTAACAATAGTTTAATATGTAAAATAAAAGGTCAACCAGACACGTTAAAGGTAAGCTGTAACAAAGAAAATTAATGTACACGAAAACAATGTGATAACCACTCTGGATAAGAAATCAGTATTACTAGGATAGGTTCAGTGTAAGAACTAATTGTTTTTGAACAACAGAAGGGGTTACAGTTTCCGCATAGTCAAGCCTTCAATAGACTTTATTTTACGTTCTAGAAGGCTTTAGTATAAAATTACAAAGGCTGACTTGATATCAACCTTATGACTAGTTTCAGCCAAATGTTTCGCAATGGAGGAAGATGTCTGTCTGTCCTGTGATCTTATTTGACCATTGTAATTCATTCGTTTCTACAGCAATTCGGATACTTTAAACCTGTCTAGTTACCCCTTTAATTTTCATATTAAACTATTTTTAACAAGTATATTTGTGATCAAATTGTTCAAAATGTATTGCGCGACTATATATCACATAATTCTGATAACTTTGGTCTTCTCACTGATTAAAATGTATTGTCATAACTCAATAAAAATATCAACAACCAGTTACAAAATTATGTTTGGAAATTTACACATACATAAATTGTCTTACTTAAAAAAACGGCATTATATTTGACTTTTTGCTAAAAGAAATACATTTCTGAATGATATAATAATATACATGACCGTCACTATACAGCGATAAATGAAACTAAAAAGTAGAAGTGTGGTGAACAAGAACCCATGTGGGAATAACAGAATCTAGTTGAACACAAAATTATAGAACATCTTAGTAAAATGTGAGAATCATACAGTAAATACTTCATTTGCAAAATGTAAATCAATTGTTTCAAACTTGACTGTTCATTCTGCAATTGTGAATTAATCGTCTCAAAATTCATTGTTCTTTTGATTCCACTCTAATCACTATTTGTTCTTGTTCTTTCTTCTTTGATCTTCTCCCTCCAGACACTTCACTTTCAGTTGATGATACATACTACTTTTGAATAGAAACTTTGTATTATTTGTTCACATTTTAAATAAGTGAAATTTTTCTCATTTTCTTCATAATTATAATGTTTTTCCGCTAAGCTATACAACAAGTGATTATTTTTTAGGTAGTAGCACGCCGATAACTAGATCTTAGATCATTTTGTTAACATCTATTTTACATTATGAATTCTATAAATCTTTGCTGATATAATATTCAATTAGCTGAAATTTTGCTACAGACAGAAAAGTTAACTACCAATCTGACTTCATTATTATAATTACAAGAGAAACAAAAGAAAAATTAGAGAACAAACGTAAAATGATTTAAAGAAAGAAGAAATGAACGACCTTGTTGTTTTATAGTTTTGTAAGCTCTTCATTCAGTCAATAAATGTTGTGACTAGTAACAATATTTGTTTGTTTCATTACACCTAGAAAACGTTAATGAAAATAATTTAATTCACTTATTGATGCATATTAATGTACAATGCTCAATTTTTATTCTTAATTCATTTTCTTCTTATGGTCTTCATTTTGTAATATACACCTTAGCCTAGTTTCAAGCGTTTCATACTCATTCTTTACGTTCAAAACATTTCTTCTTTTATTTTTCTCCTTGTCTAGTATCCTGGTTGTTATTATCTTATTTTTTTGCTTTATTTCGTTCCTTCTTTATTTCATTCGTTTGTATAATTAAAGTTAAAACTTCATAATATAGACATTTAAACTTTCATTAGTCACGCAACAGTAAATAGTTAAAACATTTTGAAAACGAATTATAATAATTTTTTTGAGAAAAATACTTTATTATAGAAGTATCAAATGAGTAGAATGAAAAGAAATTTCCCATTGTGCAATAAATTGGCAGATTCATTTATCATAATTTTCACTACAATGAATATAATGTCATTATTATTTATATATCTGTTGTGCCGGAAAAAAAAAGCGTTGATCACTTATACTCGGAACGAGGGATCTTGGCAATTCCCACAATGCGAAAGTAAGAACACAAGACTGATATAAGTGAAGATTTATTAGCCCAAATACTATGACAACGACGAATCGAATCTAGTCTAAAATACACTGGTTTATATGTTGATTGTACACCCATTTTGATTAAAAATTAGGATTAGATCACATACTCAATTATAACAAATCACTTACTGAGCATAGTTCATGTCAAGTGAATGCAAGAATGTCGTATATTATACAGAAGAAAATATCATACTGGAAAAACAGTCAAATACTACACTGAATGATCCTCATGTTGAATCAAAACGGATGTAATATTGAATAAAACTCATAATGAGTAATTCAATCGAAAATTGACTTTTCTTTCCATCATGCCAAGTAATAATTAATCTATTGTGTATAACTCTGGTCCTAACAATATCTAAATCATTTCTTCCTTACTGAAATACATAATAAGTAGTCTATATATACACAAATATCTATATATATGATAGACGATGTACTATTTCTTAAAGAATAATGCATTTGTTTATCTTTAACAAGTAAATAAACATTGTGGTACTAATAATGATAAACAAACAATGAATAGAAAGAAAATAGTCAAAATGTAAACTAATTAAATTTTTAGTTTTTCTATGGTGGCCTAGTTTCAATTGATTCATGATCTCAATCATAAAAAATTAAATCTTTGCTAATCTGATTCGATGTTATCAGTATTGTAACTAATATGTTAATGGTAAATTATTTCCTTCATATATTTAATATACCTTATTTTATTTAAACGGAATGTAATATTTAGGCTTTTAAATATATAATAAGAAAACCTTTTATTTCACTGAAATAAATCATACGTTACTTAGAAGACACATTATTTCCTATTATAAACAATCATCTAGTTCGAATGACTCGATTACATGTTGTTTATAATTTTGTACGGTTTTCGATATCTAGTCTTATATACTTCAATAGAAAATGTATTACAATGTTGCTTATATATATATGCAGAAGTGATTTGACTGTTTCATACATAAAACAACATGATGTTTAAAAAAAATTAATATCTAGTAACCTGAAATTCTTTTTTCACAGTTTTTGTATAGATCGAATATTCTATTTTCCCGTTCATTTTAATGTTTCGAAGATCATTCTTATAAATTTTAACATTTATCTTATTTCTATATGAGTAAAAAGAACACCTCCCAGCGTGTCTAAGCAAAGGTCTGGTGAGGAAAGTGGACAGATCTATATTGGCCGATTTAGTACAAACTAGTGATAGTGTCAGTATAAACCGATCTTTCTCAATTATTTATAGGGTCAGTAATATTTTGCCAAAGCTTGTCAGACTAAATGTCTTTCAAACAGATTAAGTAGTAGCCATACGGATAAAGAAACAGGAGCATTGTGTACAAAAAAAGTGTCTTCAATCGCTCCTCCTCCCCTGGCTAATCCCAAGGCAATTAATCAATAACAATCTTAGCTATAGAATGAATTAATTGGACTATTGTATTCAAATGCCGGCTCAGTGGTCTGTAGGTTAAGCGCTTGAGCGCAATCTACATGAATTTGAGTATACTTAAGAAGTTAACCAATTTTTTTTTGTACGATGTGTACACACAGGACCGAAATGTCCTGGGTTCGAATCTCCAGAGGTGGAAACGTGGATGCGCACTGCTAAGGAGTCCCACAATAGGACGAAATGGCCATCTAGTGCTTGCAGATTTTCCATGGTGGTTAAACTTCAATTGACTCATGATCTCAATTATTGAAATTAATATAATATCTACAAAAACCCCTTCTGATATTAAATTATATATATTCAATTCTAGTAACAAAACAATAACGGATGCAAAAATAAACATAATGAAATTAAAAAGAATTTGATTAGAATAAGTCAGTAGTTTGGCATAAAACAGTGACATTATATACATATTTATGGTATTCTAATTTTAGTGTTTACGACTACCACTGTATTTACAGTATATTAAGGTTTAGATTCCTCTCTGTTCAAATGAGTTTAAAACTTCGTAATATAGAAGTAGTATGAAAATCTAAATTCATACACATTATCAATATCCTTTGTATATCTGACTGTAATCGAGTAACAAAATTAATAAGTTTTGAAACAATTTACTTTTTTTATATAATCAGCGCAACTATTAATTTTCAAGCCAACTGTTGAATATATACTGAAGGAATTAAGTTTTTATATTTATTATTATAGACGTTATCAATAAACATGTTAGTCGTAAAGATTCCTTTTTTCGCAATAAATTTACCATTGACTAACTTGTTTCACTTTTAATTCAGAACGTTTAATAAACCAGTAAACGGATAACTTTCACTTGAGGATAAAATGATAACTATTTTCTTTTTACACTCTAGTCAAAATTATTTATCACTTTTCCAAGCAAAAAAACAAACAAACAGGATTAAAACGTTTCATGGATTGGTTAAGAAATTAAGAACTGGTTGAAATAGTTTTTCGATCAGAATAACTTTCTTAACTAAATATCTACAACTGATAGTTTTTCATACATTTACAGGTTTTTATAAAGATAATCCGAACCAAGGTTTATATTGCCTGATTTTAGTTAAGTACGTATATAGACTTAGATGGTGGAGAAGATTTGTAGCTCAGGTGGATGATTTTGGTGAAGTTTTGTTCTCTGAGCTGGATGGTTTGGTCTTGAAGCTTCCATCGTTCTTCTGAACGACATCATCAGCACAAACTTCAGATAGAAGTGAAGTGTTCGAATTTCTCCATCGTTCAGAAGAACGATGAAACCTCCACGACCAAACCATCCAGCTCAGAGAACAAAACTCCACCAAAAAAATGTATGTAGACTGTAATTCAATCAGATTCTTATCAAACTTAATTTGATGCGGCTAAATGACATTCTTTTAAGTATTTCATGTATCTATCATAAACTTTGCATAGATAACGTACAATAAAGTGAAGTGTATTTCTCAGGAACAATTTAAGAAAAAAATTATTTCAATAATAAATAGCCGAACAGAATTTACTGGTAGGATTGCGGAAATTCGTTGATGTAGGTCTTCCGAAGTCTGTTCGATTATAATATTGATCTAAATAATAATAACAACTATGCAATGATGAGTTATATTGTATCTATTTGGAAAGATGAAATCACAAGAAACATGACAAGGTGACATTCTGAATGTTACTGTAGTTTTTAAAAAAAATAAGATAATAGAATTAAAATAACAAGAAGTTTCAATAGATAAGTGTTTAAAATCAATAGTTGATCTTCGGATTATTCATCGATTAACGGTTGCAAATTATCAGTAGCATTTGTTTTGTGACAGCGTTTCAAATGCCAATATGTTCCAGTTTGATAAAGAATCCTATCGTTTTTTCTGTTAATTATCATCTCTAATAATATCTTTGTGAAAATGAAAAAATCGTAAGTACTTTACTTTTAAATTTCAGATGGTCCGCAGCATGTCAATATACATGGTCCTTATGAAAGAATAACTGAAGTGAAACAAAAAGTAAATGTTTATGATAAATTAGAGAGAGCAGATAATAAAAGCACAGTGACTACTGTAAATAAACAAAAGTTGTATGTTTATTTAGACAGACCACAATATTTATCATGTGTTACTGATGAGTATTATGGACAGGTTGAGATTAAATGGCGGGGTAAATTACATAACAGTGAAAATTGGGAAGTTATTACTCCAGTCGAATCATTTCCACGTAATGAACCTGATGCATTAAATAATTTTAATATAATTCAGGCATCAATTATACAACTGGTTACAACAAATGAAAAACGAAATGCTTTAATGTGGACAGAAATAGAATGCAGTGCTTTACCAAGTTATTTCAGAGAAGAAAATAAAAAAATTATATCGAACAAGGTCAATCTGGAAATGTATAGTAGGTATTTCCTTTTTTTAAAGTGAGGAATAATGGTAGAATTAAAAGCCATTGCTTTTTTCGAGTATATTCTACACTTGTTAATTATTCTGACTGAAAATAAGAGATACTTAAATTGAAAATTATTTGAAATAGTTTTATCTTCATACGATAAATATGTAATGCCATCAAATTTCTTTTTTTTTCCAGTTGCATATTCTAAACTGTTAGTTTGTCTGTTCTCTCCTTTCTACCTATGGACATTTACATGATCTTATTATTAGTATTATCCAGATAATCCAGACGATGTTTTCATTCCTATTTTGCATTACAGTCACATGAATTCACCTTAGTTATTATAATTCGATATCTTACAGGGCATTTCGTAATATGTAATTAGCATGTTCATACAGTATAATTTTTGTTGTAGCCTTCGAGCCTTGATAGTTACAAATTTCGTAGGTATTTAAATATATATTTGGCGTGAAATACACCATTTCTAATTTATATAACCGAATCATATTTGAAGATAAACTGTACGTTGTCATGTAATCTAGATGCAGAGCAGTCATTAATTACTGTTACGTTTTCATTCATTTAGCCACTCAATTGTAGATAATTTAGAATAATTTATGTTGTAGAATTATTCGGAGGTATGACGTTTGCTATGTTAGTTTTTTATCACGATTGAGTGTGCCACATTTGACACGTAGCATGATGGAGTGTTATTTTCGTCATACGAAACTCTGCATTTTTCATGCGAGCCAGAAAAACGGCAGAAAAGGAAACACGTCTTTCATGATGGATTGTGATGATGTAAACAATAATTATTACTTCTTTTTGTTTGTCTGTTATGTGTAGGGTCAAAATTGAGAAAAAAAGTGAAGTTTGTCCCTCACCTAAAGGAGAGGCTAGAGACATTGCAGTTTAAACAGCTCGTAGAAAATGGATTCAAAACATTTTTTGAATATTTATTATTGATGCACTTATTTACGAAGACAATGTATCGCACATTTCGTTGTGGTGACGTTTTTCGTGGCTACTTTAATCGATACTTCATTACTATTATTACATTATGACAATGTTGAAGCTTAGAAAACGTATTCTGTCAAAAGAGTTCGACAGTATATATGATTTTGCGGTTATTGTATTTTGATAAGACTGTTCAAGCTCACAAGTGGACAACTCTGTCGTGACTAAATTAGGCCTTGAGTTGAATAATAATTTTTCACTAGCAAGTAACGTTGTTTATGACGTAATGCAAACTGGCTACAGTATATAGATAAGTTTGTCATGGAAATATGGTGACTGAATCATGGAATGCGTTTTCAAAAAGCTAATTTAGTTGTTATTATTCCTTAAAACTTGTTTCTTTTTTTAGCCATCCCTCGCATTCCGACAATTACGGGATATAAGGAAGGCACATTATTGGCAGATGGCACTATACTAACACTTCACTGCACAGGAGAACAAGGAAATCCTCCAGGAAAACTAGTTTGGACTCAAGGTAAGACTAATGGGAATATTTAATCCATGAACGCGTTCAAAATTTAGGTCTGCTAATAAGTTAGAGTTGGCGTTTGATTTTTGGTTGTCTATTTCTTGATATTTGAAAATACGTCTCATGATTCAACTATTTATTAGTACGTTCATAAAACCCTAAATCTACACCTGACTTAGTGATGATTTGTATATCAACAAAGATCTTTTACGGCCTACTATATCCATTACATGTAAGTAATGAAAAGCTTTAAATCCTGTTGAAACCTTTCTATCCTACTAGATTGACATCCTGCTGTTTTAATAACAGTTACATCTGACAAGTTATAATTCACGTGTTCCTTTTATTACTTCATTCTTATCATTTTAGTTACATCAGTTTTATACTAGGCGTTCAGTAATATTTACAACAATGGCAATATTTCTGTGTAAATGATTCATCAAATCTTTGAAAAAAAGTGTATTACAATTTTAAAGCTGTGGTTGTTTATCGTAAAACAAGATACCTAGGAATTTCAAGGTACGATATTATTAATTTATTTACTCTAATAAGTGATGAATTAACCATCTTACGGTAACTAATATACTGATGTAGTGAAAACCAATGACTAAACAATTTGTTAAATAATAAAGTTTGTCTTCTAATTACTCTTAATAGATAAGCGTAATATACCTTTGAGCCTAAATCAATTAGTTAAGCAGATAATCACGAATAGATGTCCAAGAATTTTATAATTTAACGATATTTTAAATCACGGACTAACCTCAACTAGACAACATTGACAAACAGGAGGCATTCGACAACTATCTAATTTTAGTATGCAGTTCCTCACCATTTTATATGAACTCCACTGTAGGTAAACTCGAGAAGCTTCACGCTTCACAGCAGTTCGTTATTTTTGAACCAGCTAGTTAAAAACGGTTACTTGGAATCACTGATTTTAGTCATTGGCCATATCTATACAATACTAAGGAACACTTCTCACATAAGTGAATTTTATTTTGGCTTTCTTTATGACTAACACTGATTAATCAACAGTCATCAATTGTTTTATGTTTATTTCATTTGTTTATCATAAACAATAGGTGTGACCAATAAGTTAGTAAACATATTTGTTAGTAAACATTCAGTTGTACTTACCGCTTGCTGTAGATAATTCTAAGATAGTTAAAATAGATTAACTGTCGTTCTGTCTCTAATGAAACAACTTGACTTACTTTAACTTTCTGAATTTATATTCTGTTTATGTTTTTATTATTCCTTCAGTATTAAAAGGTACCAATGAAAGTGAATTAATTGATGAGTCAAATATTATTCAACAAAATCAATCGAACAAATATCCTGATGGAATGATTTATTCAATATTAAATATTAATCTGACAAAATCATATGATGGAGCGATTTTTAGGTGAGTAATGATTTGTCATGTTAGATACTAAGCGTGTGTTCCTCGTTGAAGCAATGAACAATTAAACAACTCTAAAAATTTCACCATGATGATAAAGAAACATTATTCAATCGAAAAAAATTGCTGTGAATGAAATTATCTAATAAGTCCAGTATGGAATTATAAATGAAGGCTAATCAAAAACTTTTACTTACACTGAAAGTAATTTAAATACACTCTAGACGATACTTTGATAGTTTTGATGTCGCTTTGTAGAAATTCTTACTGGAGCTATTAAAATAATCAATATACGATAATGACTGCTTCATCCCCTCTTAACATCCATTTCATCACTCATGTAGTATCAGTAACTTAATAAATCTTCTGACTGAATTCTTGAATCGATTTCCTAAACTCTTCTAATAACCTCAGGTTTACTCTACACAACAACTTGAACACGAGAGAAAAGGCGCAAAATATGGAAACAACGCTTTACTCCAAGGTTAGTTCATGTACAGAAACTTTGGAGTATTTATAGCATTTCAAATAACCTTGAGCTTTTGAAGGGTTCTATGACGCGAACAAACATAGTAGCAGGATATGAAATAATCCAATCAGAAATGCAACTCCTGACTCTTCACTTTCTAAACATTTCTGAGAAACGTCTGTTCAACGCTTATTAAATAAAATGTTTCCTAGCGTTTTCAGGGCCCCACTTAACTTTTTCAAGGAATATTCCAGATCTCTTCACCATTACCTTCATACAAAAATTAAAAGTAGAAACTTAATCAGTTTACTAATTCATATTATCAAATCATCACAAACGATAGATCTTAAACATTTGCTTTATTTCAAACACACTTCGAAGTTTTTCATCTTCTATAGTAAATAATGGTTACAAACATGTGAATATTCAAATATAAGTTTGATTTCTTACATAAACTACTGATCATAGAGAATACTATTCTTTTATAATCATGTATCTAGTTATATTTATTCAATTGAATGATAAATGATTGTTTCGTCCCTTTTATTATCTCAATTCTGTAATTATAATAATGACAGTGATATGCATTATTCTTTATTCTATCAAAGTTGGAGTTGTTTCTTCATTATCATTATCATAATTTTTTCATAACTATTGTTATTATATTATTTTATCTATATTATTTTTTTATTATGTTGTTACTAATACTACTAATATGTTTAGGCATAATCCCGACAGACTAATTATAATAGTATAAGATGAAGTGACAATGTTACATTAAGAAGAATAATTGCCACCATTATACCATTATACCATGTCATTTGAAATAATCATATTAATAATGATATATCAATAAGAGTAACTCACAGATACGTTGTTATTAGAGAATGATTATTTAGAAATATCAGATTACTATATTGAGATATTTATTTTTAGATGAAATAAAATATATTTCGTACTTTAATCAAAAAGGAATTATAAAAGAGATAAATGTGTAATGTGGTGAATGATAATGTGGAAATCACATGGAAAAGAATTCAATATTGGATTCTTACAATGAAGTTGTTTAAGGAATATGTATTAATTTATTAATTGAATTCATAATTTGATTGGAGCTAGACCACCATAGAAAACCTGGAAGCACTAAACAACTGCTTCTTCCTGTTATGGGACTCCTCAGCAGTGCACATCCACAATCCAACCTCACGAGATTCAAACCCAGGACCTATCGGGTTCGCGCGCGAGACCCCTCTGAATATGTAATAAATAGTCGATTGTAATTGAAGGATAAGCTAATTTGTTTTTCATTAAATGTGATTCGATCTAATAACTGTTTTATTCAACATTGCTTTACAATAAAAAGATTTAAACAAAATATCTAATGATATTGTGGCTAATTCTAGGTTTATATCCAATCTAATTTTACAGATTAGAGAAGGAGGATAATAAAACATCTTTTTGTAACAGTGATTGTACATAATTTTTCTTAAAACCTTCAAGTTTCCGAGGCAGTCAGTCTTTTCAAAGTTTCTGATTCAATGATTTATATTACTAGATGATACATTCCAATATATTTGTCTTGTAGATCATCTGTATGAATTCAGTTAAACCTCTTTATTCAGTTGGCAGGAAACAAGAAAAATATGTTATATATTGTAATATTTCTTCTTGAGCATGTCAATATACTATAGGTCTCTTATAGAAGCACATGATTATATCATATGACCATCACACCTAAATAACTAATTACAGCAAATCTAAAATAGCAACTTTCAGAGCAATGATATAAAGTGACCATGAAAAAAATTGCAAGTATCGAATATGGTTCCAAACTTCTGAATAACCTAAGAACTTGAGCAATTTATTAAAACGATAAGAAAGCTGTTCTAGATTAGGTAATAAAGCCTCGTTACACAAAATACTTTTTTAAGGGTTGATTTAAAATCGAGTTTCTTTATATTCAATATGATAATTAAAAATTTCGTCAGTGTAACCAAAACCATCGATGAAACCCTACGTATTACCTATCGTTAGACATTATACAACACCGACAGACTTTAAATATGGATTCCATTATATCCGAACTATGTGCCTTATATTTACCGTATAAATAGAGGTCAATGATGTAAGTTTCGAAATATTATTATAACACCTTTTTCATCGATGGAAGTGACAGTTTGTCATTAAAATGTGCAGAATATAGATTTATTTAGAATCACAGGATTTACTTTTCAGACTTGCAATAGATGTTATAACGTTTATTCAATTCTATTTAGATGTGGAACTGTGAATCCTGGTTACGGATATTCGGATGCACAATTCAGTTTACCAGTAGAAATTGGTGTATCCTATTCAGCAACAGTTTTAAATATTAGTGTCATAAGTGGAACTGGACAAATGATAGCACGATCAAAATTACGTGATGAACTTCAAACTATTTTAAGTTATTATAAATCAAAATACAATGTTGGACATATTCCAATAGTCCAAGCAAAAGCTGGTCATGCACTTAAACTAATGTGTCAAGTTGAAATGTCGAATCCGAAACCTGAACTAGAATGGCAACTTCATCATTGTTCACCTGTTCAATTTGCATCAATTATGAGAGGAATCAACGATACAATCAACGACATGAAATCACAAAATGATCCATATGATGCATTTTTTAAAAGCTGTCAGACTATTCACTTAACAGGTAAGCATTATTTTAATTACAATCTAATTAATATCAGTGTTATTAAAACGGATATTTTTCAAAATAATTTAGTTGATCGTAAAACAAGATTCGAAGAACGAATTGTATTCTGATCACTGAGAATCAATCATTTCACATTAAAAGCTATTTTTCATCAAATAATGATATTGTCTGCTAATCAGTTAAAAACAAGCTGCGCTGTACGCTTATTTTATCTTTGTTTGGGACTCTTTGACAGTTTGCGCTCAAAACTTTACCAGAGAATAAACTATGGTCGGGAATGCAAGAAACCAATCCTTCTTACACTTGGTATTGTTTGGCTTGTACCTCCCCATTGAGGTTTAAGACTGTAATTGATCAGTCTGTTATTGGCATATGTGCATACTCTGCGTATGCCTCGATATTGCCTTAATTCACAAGCTATTTGTAAACAATGATGGATAGAGGCTAGCAGTGGAATCCAGGACGTGTATTTCGTCCTATTTGGGACTCGTCAGATGGATGTACCTGCATCTCAGAGTTGATGTTTGCTATGGGACTCGAACCCAGTACCATTCGCTTCAAACGCCATCGCGTTATCCACTCAGTTACTGAGTCCTGATAGCCACTCAGTAGCTCAGTGGATAACGTGATGGCGTTTGAGGCGAATGGTACTGGATTCGGGTCCCAGAGTGAACATCAACTCTCTGAGATGCAGGTACATCCATCTGACGAGTCCCAAATAGGACGAAACACGCGTCCTGGATTCCACTGCTAGCCACCATCCACCAATCCTTCTTAGTTTTCTATCATTTATTGGCTAGAATATGGTAGTATTACTATGTTAAAATACATTAATCTTCACAACAATCATTTCTGAATGTTTTGACAAGAACGTCCGCGACTCTAGAAGGAAAGTTGATTACTATGTTCACTAGTAGCCAATCATCTTTGATGACAGTCAATGACTATCTTGAAGTGGAAGCCGTTGAACAGAGAGAGAAATGCGGACAATTAGTTTCTGACTCAGAACTCCAAAATTAACTCTCATAATGAGAAATCATAACTCCTTGGTTCCCTTTTTGAAGGCTTTAAATTAAACACAGCTGAGAGGTTCTAAGCGAAGGACTACTAGCTGTTCAGCATTCTTCGTTTTCAATGGTTGTTCAGTTGAAGTCAGTTTATCATGTAATATTTATGTATACATATATTTTGCATCATATTTTTGATTTATTTACTTCATTTTTCATCAATTATTTTGTTTTTAGGTAGTAAAATGGAAGAAACGATAATTGAGTCAGGCAAACTTCACATCTTAAATAGCCATTTGGAACTTCCTATGAATATATCACATGATGGAGATTTAATTGAATGTTTAATAAGAAAATATCCAATTGATTATACTAACAGTTCTGTTCATTTACAATCATTCGATAAATACACATTGTCTAAACCTTATTATCAAAATACACATTCACAAGCCCTTACACTTTTAAATTCACATATTTTACTTTCTATTCAATTTCCACCGATATTTTTAACTTTAGCAAAACAATTGAATTGGCCTGTAGAGTTGAATTCATCAAATAATAATGAACAATTTTTGCCACATTATATTGTGGTTGAAGGTAAATCTGGTTATAAATAAATTAGAGTTGAATGCAGCAGTTATCCTAAATACAATTTAAAACATCTAATACTTCTATTTCCATAAGATGAATAAATTTCTACCGAACTAAATCTCGACAAAATGAAGTTTAATAGTTGAGATCATGAGTCAATTAATGCCAGAATACCATGGAAAACCTGGAAGCACTGGACGGCCGTTTCGTCGTAGTATAGGACTCCTCAGCAGTTCGAATGTCGCGAGGCGGGATCGTGGACGAGCACTGCCGAGGAGTCTCATACTAAAACGAAACAGTCATTCAGTGCTTCCAGGTTTTCCATGGTGAACTAGCTCCAGTTGACTCATGAATTCAAATTTTAAATAACCAGTATTATATAAGTATAAAAGATTAAGTGTTTTAGTAAAACAAGGATTGAACTTCGTTAATAGCCTATTTCCAAAAAATGCTTCAGAACATCCTCAGTATATCACATTATCAGTATGATTTTATAATCATTTCCATCGTTTGGTGATGAAGTTTTTAGTAAAAATTTCAAGTTCTTGGAGATTTAGTTAGTAGTTTTTTCAACAGTTTACCTCCTATTGATAATAAGCAAAGTGAACGGTGGTTACAATAAGAAGAATAAAATTGTTAGGGTGTTCCTTGGACTCATGATTTGGATTTGTCCTCCAAATCCATATGTAATATAATGTCTCGGAAATTTATTGAATATTAATAATCTTGACTTAATACAGATAAACATTTTTAAAACGAACAGAAGACTGATAATAAAAGAGATCCTTGAAAAGAAATTTTTGAGATTGTTCGTTTAGACTCTTTTTTAACAATGTCTTGTTCAAAGTGTAAGATGTAATCATCATGAGATCCCTGGAAAGTGCAACCAATACACTTTATTATCGAAGCCAAAAGAGTTTATAGAACTAAGAATACTCACAAGATTTATCTTATTTGTAAAAATCAATTTACACGAAGACCATTTTTGCTGCCAATATCTACTCAGTTGACTCAGTTTCTAGAAATCGGTAACAATACTAAGTGTTTTTTTAATTTTCAACTTAATTATGATACAATGCCTGAAATTATAGTAATTACATTACTTCAAACGTATTACTGTTAATGACCTTGAATAGTTGATTTGTAACCCAGTCACAAATTAATCTCATGAGATGTGATATACTTCAATGATAAATGTGTATGATAAAAAACCTGATTGTTATTACAGTCCAACATCATACAATGAGTCACTGAATATCAAACGGTGCAAGAAAGCAAATCTATTGGGACATCAAATGGAGATGAGGTCACTTAATTTTAAAGTAATAACCATATGATACAATAGTCACTTTCTTTGTTAAACAAATATTCTGCTTTACCCGTGTTTATTTTTATTCTTATATACGGTATTGATCGTATCAGCAGCCGTAGATAACAATAATAAGTAATCTAAAAGTTAAAATTACATTATTCTTGTTCATTAAAAATGAGTTTTTAGCTACTAAGGTTATTGATAATTTTTAGCAAAACGTTTCATAACTGAGCGAAATGTTGACTGCTGTTTATAGGAGTAACATAGTTTTTGAAGCAGTTGTTATCACATAAATCAAGAGAAGACAGAAATCAAACCTTAGCAATGAATTTATCATAAATCGTGTGTCGAATGATATCTAAAAATTGGTGGGGGCTATTAGGTATAGATGTTAGACAAATTATGCTATTGTTACTAAACGAGTCAGTAGTCATGTACTGAGCATATTATGCTGCTACCTCAGAGATATCATTTACTTCAACAATAAACATCCAAAATACTATGTCAACAATTACAATGTTTAATGACAGCAATATTTACAAACACTTACGTAAACTTATAAAAGATGTAGTGAAAATAAACTATCATAGTAAAATATTTGTAATGGGTTGGAAATACCACCATAACTGGTTAAATGTAACTAGTATTTCTTCCTAAATCAACGTATTCTAAATTCTGTGACTAGTTTCATTTATTAAGTATCGTCTTCATAGCTTACTATTTTAGGTCCTTTAGTTTTCTTCAAACAATGATTGGTGTTCTATTTGGTTTCTAGCTGTGTTTCAGGTGAATTCACCATTGTCTTCATCTTGATATATTTAGGTTGTTTCTGTGAGGGCATACACTGTGACAAACATATTTATTGATTTCTTAGGTCAGATATACCTCATATGTTTTATAAAATAAAGTGTGATCACGTTCGTCAAAAAAAGATTGGATTTGTTTCACATATCCCAATTTTGTTATTCTCATTACATCGATTATGCAATAGTAAGGTTTAACCTACTGTGTTAATTATAAGTTTCTGTTTAAAAGAAATCAATAACAATATACTGAACATTGTTCTTATAATTACGAGAATAAATGGTTATCCTCCTGCTAAGTCAAATGAATTTGTCACTAGTCTTCACAATAGTGCAACGTTCTTCAAAATTCTACAAGTGACCAAAATTTTGAACTACATTGTGCAACCGAATTCGATATTTATTCAGAATAGCCAAGAGAATAATTTTATAGACAACAAATATGTTTCGTACAGGTTTTTGAATTTTTATTTTTATTTTTAGAGCTAGACGTTCCCTGAATCCCAAAGACATGCATGAAAGTATCACTATTTGCCAAACATCCGCTACCGAATTTTGTACTCGATTGTATTCGATTACTCCATCTAACACTATCACGATTAGTTCAATAAAACTTCTGAGTAAAATTGCATTTGAAATGACCAATCTTCAATAATATTTTCTTACTAATTTGAATGGCATAAACAACTTGATTCAACTACCTTTTCCAACTGTTTAGATCTATAAGCATTCTTCGACTCTGTTATTGTGACCGTAAATTGAACGTATGATATAAATCTTTTAGTTTATGCTAAATTTGTGTCATAACAAAAGTGAATTAAAATGAAATCATTCCATAAATTTGTTACATTTTCAATTTCCTTCAGGTGGATCACTTGATTTAGATTTAGAGCCTATTTCTAATCCATCATTAAGTAAAACATCATGGTTTAGAAATGGCATACCACTTCCATTATCAAATGATCCAATTAAAACATTGAATTCATTCAAAAATGAAGAAGTTAATAAAAGTTCTAAATCATATTCTATTGAAGATTTAAATCAACGTTTAATCGTACAACCAACCAAATTATTTATTCATCCTGTTAAACGATCAGATATGGCCAATTACACACTGATTGTAACTAATGCTCTAGGGAGTAAAGAATTTACATTCTTTTTAAATGTAACTTGTAAGTTATAAATTATTTATTCATTACATAATATTGTTTCTTCTTTTTTACAATATTCACAATGATGTAATACATTAATATTAAATCTATAAAATGTAACTTGTTGTTAAGGAAAAAATGATTTTTAACTATTAATTGATAAACCATAGGATATCACTAAGATTGATATTTTTTTTCTATTGTTGGAAAAGAATTTTAATCACATTAGATGCTGTTTCAAGATTTCCAGTTAAGAGATAATAATGATAAATAAAACTGAAGAATTGCTTTGAAATTAATAATTTTACTGATACATTTAGTGATATAGTGTTAAATAAACTTGAAAATGTTTCTGTGGAGTGATTTTTAAAACTTACTAATTATTTGTCACTATATGACTTAAAAGTAAAATAGGTATATCATTAACTTACAAGAAATTCATGATGAATATGTGGATCAATTTTGTGAATTTTGGTTCAATGGTTTAGAGGTTAAGCTTTCGCGCGCGAGACCGATATGTCCTGGGTTTCAATCTCGCGGGGTGAGATCATGGATGAGCATTGCTGAGGAGTTGCAAAATACGATGAAATGGTCGTCCACTGTTAGCAGGTTTTTCATAATGGTCTGGCTTTAATTGACTCGTGATGTCATCTTTTAAGTTTTTGATAATCAAAACATCTTAATCCTAGATGTCTTGTTAGTTCAATAGAAGAAGGATGCTATGCAGTCACGACTAGAGTGGAAGGTAAATTGAGATGCCATATCTTTACTTTTATTTTATCCCATTTTAAAGCAAGATATCTGATTAATCAAAATCATTTGCCCTAATTTTTCAACCAAACAGCGTAATGTCAATTTATTTATTAAAATAGGTTACGTATCTGAGAGAACCGATGAATAAGTGTATGATAAAAGAGTGGGTCAAACTTCAAATTATGACCTTTCCAAAAAAATCAATATTTTTGGATGCATTATCTCTATATTGTTCATAAAAAGAGTTGTGGTTAAAACTGTGTATTTATTGGATACCATGGTTGAATTATACTCCGACACAATATTAAGACTAGCACTTTTAATTTTACTCCATATTTGTAGTTTTAACTATTCCAGTGACCGAAATTAAAAAAAGCACACAAATAAAAAAAAATTAGGTTCTACATTTTCGTGCATCAATTTTCATGATCTGTATTCGGATATTGTGGTGTCAATTTGATTGAAACAAAATTTACATAAAATACTAATCGAATAAAAGTCAAACGTAATATCTTGATTTTTATCATTAAAGGTGTAGGCTTGGCAACTCTAACAGCCATTTGATCATCTTACACCATAGTCTAGTGAAACATCTGACCATTTCATATTAAATCGCAGAAAAACTGGCTACATGGGAAACTTATTTTTTTAAATCCTCATAAAAATAACTTGAATTGTTCTCAATTATTCACAAGAAATTTTTCAATACTCTTTATAGCTAAATTGATTCCTTTTAAATTGTTACATCTACCCAAACATATTGGTCGTTGTGTACAAAATAACAGTAAATTAGTTTGAAAATGAAATACTTACAACAAAGACATTCATTACAGCCCACTCAAAAGTTATCATATTTATAAAGTGAAACAGTTTATAAAGTAGTAAATTTCTGTGAACAATCATATCGCATATTATGTTGCAGATGATAGATATGAAAATCCTTAGGTAGGTAATACATATCAGTTTTCAATGTTGAAGAATAACCATATTTTCAAAAAGTCGTTTCTCAAGGTGTTTGCTAATTGAGCGTATGTTATAAATATTCATATCTTGTTCACCATAATTACGTATCCGATTGTTTATTGTTAATCATTGTTCTCTGATCATTTGATAACCGTCATCAATTATATTACAAGATGGGCCGCAATTAATTGGTTCCCCTTCAGTAAATGTGACAGTTTCTGGTAAAAAGGCTGAATTATTTTGTCAATCGGAAGCTAATCCCACACCCACGACAAATGCTGTCCGCTGGAGGCGTTTAACAAACACACTGATTGGTTATGATTCCGCAGAAAATATCTACAGAAATTCAATCTCCCGAGCATCTTTTTCTACAAAGAGTCATACTTCTCAGGCTGATTCAGCTGCTGGGATTCATTGTGATAAAGTAAGTTCTTAACATACTTTGATCCATTTTACAGTTACGTATATAGCGCTACTGAATCTCTATTTCAGGTGGTCTGAAAAGCCAGCTTGTCTTTGATATTGTCGTCTACTTCATTATAGATAGCGTGTATCAGTTTCAAATTACACATCCAAACTTTGTATTTAGAAAAATCTAGTCTACTAAAATAAACGAACCGTTTTGTAGCCTATTATTACTAGCTTTATTATATTTTTGGTACAATATAGAATTTTCGGCACAAAGCATTTCAGTGAGTTTCCATTTCATATTTCTTGGTCGATATTAACGATAAATATTGAGTGATAACCAGTTAGATATTAGCATTTCAGAATTCGGCATCTGTGTAATATTCATTCTTTTCAATGCACATTGCCAGCCATAACGGCGTTGTAAATTTTTGTAACTTGTACAGCAAAAGGTCGTAAACTTTTCATAAACGCACCTGAATATGTTATGCAATTAATTGATATAACGATACGTTAAAACACACAAGGAAACAGAAAACTTGTTGAAATATCTAGATGGCAGGAACAGATAGCCCAGATATTCAAGCAAGCCGCCAGGGTACATAATCTGAATATTTTTTAAATAAATAAGATGTTATTAAGGGACTAAATAATTATGATGACGACATCCTCTAAGACATCAACAGGCGAGAATTACTCATGCATAAAATTCTCCCCCAAAATGAGTGTTCTACATTATCTCTTTGCATATGGAGAAAAATACACACGAAGATAGATCCAAGACATCTTTAGAAACACGTTGTAAGAGATGAAATGAATTAAGTCATAAGAGGATCACCTTTTTTAACTGTTAGCTAAATCTTTAACGCTCTAAGTATCTGGTACCATCATATAGTCTAGTATGCCTGATGAAGATGTATTGAGAGGAGGTTTTATTATTGAATATAATTTATTCGCACTCTAATTAAACATTAGAGATCTGAATTACTTGAGTAGAAATTCAGTATTACCTAGATCTACTAATTTTAAAAAAAGAGATGAATGCTAGTAGAATATATTTAATGACGATCGTTTGAGCTATGAACCAAACTGCAGTCCATGATTGTTGTTTACTGTGGTTTTTAGTGCATTACCTTCAGTTAAGAAGTTAATAATAGTTTTCACTTGTGAAACAATTGTTTCATCATGTACTCTCATAGTTTTATTTTTACAAGAAGACATTGTTCGCATATGTTAAATAGTGGGATAATTACTCTCTACTTCACAGTAGCTATGAATTTAAATAAGCGCGAATCGATATCAATCTACAGTATTTTTACCATGTCTTTATGATACCACTGACTAAAAGTTCTCTTGTTATTTGATTTCGATTCATCTTTTATCATTTAAATTTGTGTTTAAAATAAATATAGAGGTTGATTTTGAGCCAATAATATACAAATTGTATTCTATCCCATCCTATTAAGTTTAGATCGAAGTTCAGCGAAGGGATCACTTTTCAACGAATTTATTATCAAACTGTACAATTGTATATATATATGAAAATTTTGTTTTTGTAAAAGTACTAATTCCGTCAGGAAATGTGAACACAGTTAACCATGACGTAATAAAAAAGGTTATAATACTAGATTACGTAATATGAATAATAACAATAGATTTAGTGAATATAATAAGATGATTAAAATGATTAAAATGTTTTTGTTATAATAATTAAAGGTCATAGAGATGTACAAAATAAATAAAGTGATATGATGAGCATTTACGAATAAAATAATGAGAATATAAGATATAAATGAAGGGGGAATGCAATAATAATAATAATTTACTTACTTACGCCTGTTACTCCTAATGGAGCATAGGCCACCGATCAGCATTCTCCAACCCACTCTGTCCTGGGCCTTCTTTTCTATTTCTATTCAATTCTTGTTCATTTTTCTCATGTCCATTTCCATTTCTCGGTGTAATGTGTTCTTTGGTCTTCCTCTCCTCCTTTGGCCTTGAGGATTCCATGTGAGGGCTTGTCTTGTGACGCAGTTGGGTGCTTCTCTCGATGTGTGTTCCATCCACTTCCAGCAATTCTTCCTGATTTCTTCCTCCGCTGGGATCTGGTTTGTTCTTGATCACAGTTGGTTGTTGCTGATAGTGTCTAGTCAACTGACCTGAAGCATTTTGCGTAGACAACTGAGAATTAACACTTTTGTCTTCTGGATGATGGATTTCGTAGTTCTCCAGGTTTCCGCCCCATACAGTAGAACTGCCTTGACATTTGTATTGAAAATCCTGACCTTGGTGTTGGTTGACAGTTGCTTTGAGTTCCAGATGTTCCTCAATTGTAAATATGCTGTTCTTGCTTTACCGATCCGCGCTTTCACATCTGCATCAGACCCACCATGTTCATCAATGATGCTGCCCAAATATGTAAAGGTTTTTACATATTCCAAATCTCCGTCAATTGTGATTGGATTGGTGCATGCTGCGTTGTATCAGAGAATCTTGCTTTCCCCTTTGTGCATATTAAGACCTACTGCTGCTGAGGCTGGTGCTACACTGGTTGTTTTCTCTTGCATTTGTTGTTGCGATTGTGATAGGAGGGCCAGATCATCTGCGAAGTCTAGAAAGTCCAGCTGCATCCTAGATGTCCATTGTATCCCGCGTTTCCCTTCAGATGTTGACGTCTTCATGATAATGTCGATCACCAGGAGAAAGAAAAGGGTGAGAGTAAGCAACCTTGCCTGACACCGGTCTTTACCTCGAACGAGTCTGTCAATTGTCCTCTATGCACAATTTTGCAGTTTAATCCATCATAGGAGTCCCGTATGATATTGACTATCTTCTGAGGCACGCCGTAGTGTCGGAGAAGCTTCCATAGTGTTGTTCTGTCCACGCTATTAAATGCCTTTTCGTAGTCAATGAAATTGGTGTAGAGTGATGAATTCCATTCAATTGATTGTTCCACAATGATCCGTAGAGTTGCGATTTGATCTGTACACGATCTATCCTTACGGAATCCTGCCTGTTGGTCACGAAGTTGGGCGTCCACAGAGTCCTTCATTCTGTTTAACAATACCCTGTTGAAGACTTTTCCCGGTATTGAGGGAAGAGTGATGCCCCTGTAGTTATCACAGTTGCTGAGATCGCCTTTCTTTGGTATTTTGATCAGGAGTCCTTCTTTCCAATCTGTTGGTACTTGTTCCTCATCCCAAATCTTATTAAAGAGAATGTAGAGTATCCTTGCAGTTACCACTGCGTCTGCTTTCAGTGCTCCTACTGGAATGTAGTCTGGTCCTGCTGCTTTGCCACTCTTGATTTGTCTGATAACAATGCTAGTCACTTCAGTTGTTGGTGGGCCAACATAAACTGTGAGGTCCGTGGGTACCATTTCGATGTTGGGTGGGTTCAGTGGGGCTGGTAGATTCAAGAGTTCTCTGAAGTGTTCTACCCACCTGTTTTGTTGCTCTTCAGTGTTGGTGATTACCTTGCCTTCCTTGCTTTTCACTGGTCTTTCTGGTTTACGGTGATTTCCAGCGAGTTTCTTTGTTATGTCATGCAGTTTTCTCATGCTTCCTTCTCTTGCAGCCTTTTCCGCCGTCATTGTTAGATCTCCCACATATTTACGTTTGTCGGTTCTGATGCTCCTCTTCACTTGTTTATTTACTTCTTTGTATTCAGCTTGTGCCTTGGCTTTTCCTGCTCTTGTTTGGCTGGTATTGATTGCTGTCTTCTTGTTCCTTCTTTTCTGAATCTTATCCAGTGTATCAACAGTGATCCATTCCTTGTGATGGTGCTTCTTGTGACCCAGGACCTCATGACATAATAATAGGATGGTCACAATTATTAAGGCCAAGGTAATGATAACGATAAGACGTACTTCTTTTGTACGCATAGTTCTGGTTTAAGCTCCTGGATGGTAAGAGCTTCGGCTATTTTTTAAGAGTTGAATACGAAGGAATCTGGGTAGATTTGAACGAATCATATAAACAACCTTAAAATCACTTTGTGGATGTGTAGAATGGTTATAGTCGACTAGGTGTTCCAGTATAGAACTTCTAACTGCTTTCCTTTCACCCTTGTAGAACCGAGTTAGGATATGTTCCCGTATCCGAGTTGAAAGCGAGCGCTGGCTACGGCCAATGTACCTTGCTCCACAAGAGCAGGTGAACTGGTAGATGCACACAGAGGCGACCAGACGCGGAAGCTTATCTTTTATGGATACGGAAAATAAGTTCCTACTAGTGAAGGTTATTCGCAGTTTAGCCGCGTTAACGGAACCCAGATATAGAAGTTGGTTAGCTGGCCATTCCATGTTTGTTTTCTAAAGATGGATCTTTTTAAAGAACCATTACTCTTTCTCATCGTATATTTCTTTCTTTCGTCATTAACTTGCATCCACATTTTTTTCTGCTTTTCCTTCCCATTAAGATTGTTTTTGTTTACAAATTCTAACTAAATTAATAGTGGATTGGTGTTTGTATAAATTAACATTAAACCTTGTATTTTTTGTTTATTCAAATAATCTTTTACATTTTCTTTTCGGTCTTTTAAACAAATTAATTATAGATTAATGAAGTCAATAGAAGATAAATAAAATAATATAACCATTTACACAACAGAAGTAGAATGGTTCATTTTAATCCATCACTGTATAATATACTTTGGAACTTTTGTGTAATTATATATATACTACTGATATTTTATAAATAAATGCCTTAGAAGAGTGAAATGCATTGATATTCTTCAATAAACTATGGTTTGTATAAGTAAAACGGTTGGCTAAATATAGCTTTGTCCATAAATATGCTCATATATACATATATATAAATGTATACAATTTTATCAGAATTTATGTATTTTTATAGAAAAAAGAATGATATAAAGGCTACTGATTAAAGTCTATTGTATAAACGTAGAGATGGAACATACTTAGATTCTGTGGTTTTATTTATTGTTCATTCATACCTTAACTATAAATACCTTCATTTTATCTTCAAAAAAAATTGGACAGTTTATCAGTAGATTATTCTTCTTCTTTTTTTTGTATTGACCTACCAGTTGAACATTTACCTTTTATTACTTTTAATATATTTCTAATTCACTTGTTTATCTAATATGTCTGTATGCGTACACTTTGGGAAATAAATAAAAGTTAGTTTATTCTTTCTTATTTTTTTTAAACTTAAATATGATAAGTTTGCTTTCACTTTAGTTTATATTATCAAATTGTTAGTTAACATAAATTCACTTGAATTAATCTAAATTATCCCATAAATGTAAATACTTCTAAGCACATATATATGAAATTAGTGTATATATTCATTATGTCTAATGTAATTACTTGAAGTGTAAAGTAAACAGTATTTTGGATTTCTAAACACTAATTGGTCAGTATTTTGGCTAGAAAGTACATTTTATAACAGTCGGATACTTGTGTTTATAATCGTTTTGGATATAGTGAAAATAATATTTAAGAATTGTCAACTATTCGTAAGATATCAATTTTTTTTCTCATGACCTATACAAAATTGGAAAAAATAACACTCTTCAGTTCGAACCCTGAAACTCAAAAATGGACTCATCTTATTTCGCATATTTGTTCCTGGTGTCACTTTTCTTATTATCCTAATTACGAAGGAGGATTGGACGCTTTCTACAGACTGTTTCGTAATAGATTACGAACGGTAAAATATAATCTGAACATTCAAAGTAACACATGTCCACTTATAACTGATTGAATGATATAAGCCATGACATAACCATTTTTATGTTTTTACAGAATGTTATATTCAGTTTAAATGTTCTCAAGAAGCTTGTTTATTTGTCTTGGAATCATTTAAATCATCAGGAGATTATTGTTTAATATTCAGAATATGGCAAACAAGATAAATTTATTCCGCATTATCATTTCATATAATACTGTATGGTATAAAAACATAACTTTTTGACTTAACTCTGGAAAATTAGTTGTGTCCTTTTTCAATACACTTTGATATGATTTGTCTACTCAATGAACAACATTTATGTACATTTGCTATCAAATAGGGTGAATGGAATGTTGGATTTAAATATTATGCAAAGTGTTGGTCATCAGCTCCTGGTGTAATGACTAGTACACTTACAATATACGATTTAAGTCCAAATGATGTTGGGCGATATCAGTGTAACATGGATAATGGAATCGGATCACCAGCTGTTCGTACGATTGATCTTACTTATCCATGTAAGTTTCTAACTGATATAAAAATGTTAATGAAATTTATTCCATTTAATCTAACTACCTGTTAATAATAATTAATGATCAATAATTTATAAAACTGAGCTCTCATATCGCTGATTTTAAGTTACTAATATCAAACACAATATACACAGTTGAGAAACTGGGAAATTATTTTCGCCACAACCATGTTTACTATATGCTAAATATAGAAAAATCCTATTCTGAAATATTGCATAGGAGTGAACAGTTCAGAGAAAAGAATTAATACCTTTTTTTCCAAAAATCTAATAAAATATACTTGTGCCTAAATAATGTTATCTATTTTATCAATCCGTTCACATTAACAATAATTCGTTGTTTGTTATTGTAGTTGCACCAAGAATAGTACCAGTAACAAGATGGTCAAGAGCTGCACCCAATATAGTTTCAAATAAGAATAAAACTATCAGTGTTACTCAATCAACTTTAATTTCTGATCAACTAATCTCTATTGTAAAAGGAGCTCATGCCAGATTAACATGTGTAATTGCTGCAGAACCTAATCCAGAAGTAAGTTGGTTAAGAGAACCAGCTAATTTAACATTAATTGAAGGAGGTCAATTTCATTCAGTAGTTAAATCTATTCGTCCAGGATTATATCATGCAATATTATATTTGATACAACCACAAGAAGTTGATTTGGGTCGGTACTTTTGTAAAGTAAGTTTAATTTGTATAATAAAATGTATCAACATTATTGTGATTATAATAAAAAGAGATCATTTAACTAAGTCTTTTGAAACTATTGTTGCCTGGTTTCATATCCATGGACTATTATATGATTTTATCAATAATATTAGTTTATTTCAACTAAGATATCCAATTTGTTTGTTTGTTCTTTTTTTGCTTCTTCTAAAACGTTTTCTGCTTGACTAGAAATCGAAGTTTGCTTTTTGGGGGGGGGGGAGAATCGTTGAATTAATCCAGACTAACTATTCATATTCTCTTTGAAAATTATAAAAATACCTTTTTAGTTATTATGGTACCATATGGTAAATTACTTATAGTATGTCAAATATGTTGACGGAATTTTAGTACAGAACAGATGTTTTAAGCGCCAAAATAGAGATAATGACTAGCCTTAATTTATAATTTATTATATAAACATAATATTAAATTACTTCTGTGTTCATTCTGTATGAAAATTATTACACTTGGGATTAAAGAAAATAAAGGGTCCTACTTTTTTATGAGCAAGTATTATTATGAGCATAGTTTATCTTATTGAAGAATAGATGAATATATATATATAAAACTTCGGATAGTCATTAAAGTTGTTTTCTAAAATAAAATAAACTTTATTTGAACTGTCTACGCCAGATTATGTAATCACTGTAGTGTTATTTCTTTAAAGCTTATTGTTTTTTCATTAATCAAATAATGAAGTTATACAACTCATATTTGTTTTCATATTTATAGTTATATATCAAAATAAATTTCATAATCAAATTATGTCTATATTTAGTCTATATCTCTCATTGAATAGCCCACTGATTGTACAAATACAACAGTTTGATTATATATCATAAACTCCATCATATTTGTTGTATACTGAATAACACATTACATAGTTAGATTAACATAGAGTATAAAAGAAACATTTGAAAAAAACAGTCTTTTAGTAAAATCAAAGTACTGAGAGTAACTATGAAATTTAATCTGCACATACATCAATCGTTTTGACACATACATTTCTAGAATATTTTTTACTGATAACACGATTTAGTAACCAGTATTTCAAATTATTTACTGTTCATATCATAATAATGAAGTCAAAAGTATTGTAATTTTACATTGAACTTATTTCACACAATATATAAATGTTTGGAGTTACGTTTCTGTGTGACTCTTCTCCTTCTATCGATATCACTATTAGGGATTCCAAGGCTAGAACAAGAGTGCTGCTTAATGCATTACGGCCATTATATCTTTTTCAGCTAATGTCGGTTCATGACCAAACCTTTATCAATTAAAACAGTACTTCATAGAAAGATGACGTTTTACAATATTCATAACTTCTTCACCATTTATTTCAGTTCACTTGTAAAAGAAGGCAATAATCAGGAGGAATATCAATTAGTTGTGAGACGTTACAAAATATTCACATAATACATATACACAACCTTCATTCGTTCCACCATCTTAACTGCCTTCTCGTTTAGTCTGCCAATTCTGTACTTTTGATGTACTTGAACTCTTCCCTCTGTCTGACAACTGTTGTAACTTCGACTCCACGTTCCGCAACACACTACTTACAAACAGTTTTGTAAATGGCTTACACTACGCAATTTATAACTGTTTCTCACTATGTTTTTGAATCATTGATAAATTAAAGCGTTTAGTTGTTATTATAACTTACTATATACAACGTCCATTCCGATACTGATTGGATTTATTGGAATATTTCTCAAAATAAATTTAAAAAATCTATTAATGATTCAATCTGATCAGAACATATATTTCATTACGGGTCATTTCAACATTCACAGACATTAACAAGCTCATTTCATTTACACTTCTGAATTCATCCTTTCTAATTTAAATAAGTACACTCCCTTCAAATTCGTTTCTCTCTTTTGATCATCACTTCGGACTCATTACTGTACAACCTCGAGAGAACATGACAATATTCCTCTTATGTATATCAGTGTATCTCACTATGATGAAACTTCTCAAGCTGTTATTACTCTTCAAACTATATTTTAATCTCGTGTGAAATCGGTTATACCTATTAGTTTACATGTAAAATGGATTTTTACCAAATCCCCTTCTCTTATCATTTGTTGTCTACGTAAGAAAGCAACGACTCAAAGTGTTAAGCATGAATTGAAGATTTTATGTCATTTTATAATGGGCGTTTACTATTTACCACTGAAGATATATGTACTATTATAAAATATTATTTTCCAATGCTGAAAAAAATCCTTCCCATCAGAACACTTGGATGTGACACAAAAGAAAGGCTTGAAATGAATTTTTTTCTGAAATACTTTCTTCATATCGTATGATGTTATACGCTTAAAAATATTTATTACTGATGAATGTGTTCATTGCCTACTGTTTATATTTTTGTCATCACAAAAGTTTTATGCTTTAAGATTATAGTATCATTCAATTTGTAATCTCTACCTTAGTACTGACAAGAAAATGTATTTTAAATGTGATGCATCCCAGTAAATGTGTACAGATTCCTCTTCTTTGATTTTAAATGTACACTTTATGTGAAAGGTACTGTTACTACCTAGAGATCAAAACTAAAAAGGGTTGTACTGGGTTCGAATGTGTTATCTAACACTTAAATACTGAATTTTAAACATTATCCCATCAATACATAAGTAATAAAACTAATGTTTACGAAATGTTGCAATGATATATAATCAAAGCACCAAACAAAGTGACAAAACAATATTAGTCGCACACTATTTCAGACATATTTTACGTTATTTTAGTTATGTTATCCTTCAATGGTTAGTTAGAGGTCAGTAAAACACTTGTCATGCAAATTTTAATTTCAATCAATATTATATATAACCTGTTTACTTACTCTATGAAACAACATGGAATGCAAAACGTAGCCTTTATTAATTTGTTAATCCTAATTACTACGGTTACTATTCAACTTAATGTTTCAATATATCTAGTTAATACTTGTGAGGACTTTGTATAATTAAAACAGTTTATACAAAAGTAGACTGTAAGTTGCTTGGCTAAGCAGTGTTTACTTTAATTTTTAAGAGCACTTTAGTAGCTGTAAAAGACCTATAATGAAAAATCTTCATTATAGGTCTGAATATCTATAACTACATTTTGTATTAAATTAAACATTTTTAGCAACACTTTGTTATCCTCTCATTTGAATAACTTTAAGGTTATTAATATATGACTAAGTCTTCAAAACTTTATATACTTCAGACAGGTTTTAATTCATTTAAATACAGATTAAAACTGTTCATTATTTGTTACGCTAAGCTTTTCAGTCTACGTCTCTAAGTATACATATGGCAAATTTTTGAGCAAAAATCATGTATAATTTATCCACTTTCCGGAATACTGTTCTTACCTTCTATATGGGAGTTTATGGACAAATTACATACCTATGATCTCATTCATATTTCATTTAGGATTATCATATTCAGCAGTAAATGAACACAACAAACTTCAAGAAACAGATATTTATCTTGTTACTACCAATGGCGTTCATTGATCTTCACTTAAGAAACGATCTCACCCCAAATTTTCTTTAATATCATATTCAATAAAACTGGGGCATCTAAATGTTTTACAATTCGATATAAAGATTTACAATTAATAAAAAAATACAATATCAGAAGGGGTTTTGTGGAGATTGTAATAATTTAAACAGTTGAGATCATGAGTCAATTGAAGCTAGACCACCATGGAAAACCTGCAAGCACTGGACGACCGTTTCGTCCTATCGTGGGACTCCTCAACAATGCGCATCCACGACCCGCTCGCGGGATTTGAATCCGGGACCTATCAGTCTCGTGCACGAACGCTTGACCACTAGACAACTGAGCCGTCATCCAATTGTGTTAATGTCTAACTTCAACCGATCCACGAAATTGAGCGACACATCCACCATTGTCATCAGTGAGTTACTACCTCACAACTGACCCGGTTGAACTCCACTGATCACTACATCTCACTAGAACTCCAGGATAAACCTCTTGAAGTCAGTCACCAGTGAGAATGTGTTGGTTAGTATCAGAAGGGGTTTTGTGGAGATTGTAGTACTTTAAACAGTACGATACATCTAGAAACGGAATATTGTGAAACTTTCACAGTTACGTACATATATATGTTTCTTAGGTCACATAATCATTTTCTATTGTTGATCATTTTATACTTCACACAATTTACTTTCAGTAACTATAGTGAATATTGACTAAGCAAGATGAGTGTGTAAAGTGAAGTGAACATTCCACTATTGATTTTGTCCAATTCAGATTAAATCTTTTTTTGACTTCATACATAACAGACAGTTATGACTAAAAATACAATGAATTTTTTGATTAAAATTTTAATAAAAAAAACGACATATTTTTTAATGAATAATTAATTTTTAAAGTTAATTTATTAAAATTATTTCAAACTGCTGGTTTGTTCCAATTTTTCAATAATGAAGATCGATTTATTTAATAATAACAGTAATCTGATTTTCCGGTTCACAGAAATAATCGAATTTATAATTGATTGATCATCGGATGGTGATCAATGTCATATATATCCGGTTCCTGGTCGATAAGATTCAATCTGCATTAAGAAGCTCAGTCGCGGCCTAGATAGCTCAGTGGTAACATCTCTGACTGTGAAGCTGGATGACACAGGATCGAATCCATCAGGGAGCATCAATTCCCTCAAGATAACAGGTATACCTTGCTGACGTGTGTCAAGTAGCATGAAACCTAGGCTCGGGGTTTCCTAATAACTCCCTCCAATCACCATGCTAATAAACTTTTACTTTTTTATTATTTAGCATTAATATTACGCAATAAAAAACTAATCTATTTTATTTTAATTAAAACTGAAAAAAAACATTTATTGAAATAGGTAAAAAATTTAGTTGGCGAAGATATTGGTCGTGTGGATTTAATACGTCCGACTCAACCTGATCTTCCAAGTTCACCGCGTCTATTGAATGCAACTAGTACAAGTTTAACAGTTTCTTGGACACAAGGATTTAATGGTGGTCCAGAACAAAATTTCTTGGTAAGTAGACCAGAATTCTGCTCAAGTTTTATTAAATAACAGGTTTAGTTGATGTGTTATTCATTGATTGGTAAAATGCTTTTAAAATAGTTTTTGAAGGATAGTTTTGTTGTTAATTGACACTAGATGCAATAACAGTATGTAGCTAGAAAATACTTGTTAGCTGGTTCACCGTCAACAACCCTAATTTTGACACAATTTTTTCAAAACATGCCTTTTACAGTGTTAACAGGTAAGCGAGCTGAATTTTCGTCTTGTCGTTTGAATAATCAGTTGGGGAATTCATGATGTTATTTTACTTGCGTCGTTTTTATTTTCCGTTCTATGTTCACTAAGTTTCAGTTGTACCATTTAGGGTTTGTTCTTACCTTTTCATGCTTTGACATTCACCTGAGAAGAGAATATTAGTTAGGCTTAGTCATAAAATTAGGTTGAAATAACAATTGTGGATGTTTAGATTCTAATCAATTGAACCCATTCTGTCATGTTTGTTTATACAAATAAGAGATTTCATTTCCTGAATAAAGAAAATCTTTCATATATTCTAAGACTAAACAAGTTCTGAAAACAGGACTATCATGTTTTTGAAAGTCTCGTGTTGTAAGCATGTTAGCGAGCTGATTTTGAACTAACAAACGTATTATAAATATTTATAAAGATTAGATTTATGCAGTTATTACTCTTCGTATAACTGTCTAGGTTACTCACTGATGATAACCCAAAGACATTATCCGATTAAATTAAAACTTACTTCTTGCTACTACTCGTTGACACGAAAATATCTCTCAAAATCACTGGTGTTACGTTTTTCTAAATATTCTCTATACAAACTAAGTCACCTACTCATTATAATGTGTGATAAGACCCTTTCTAAATTCACACCATTGCAACTGAAGTCTAGTGTGGTTAATGTACATTCAACATACTAAGGAAAATTGTGAATACATTCTTAAATTACAACAAAAAAAGCTAACAAATGCTTCATAGTTTTTTACTGATTGTCAATCCGTAATGTACATTAACTAACAAATTGAACAATAACCACAAAACAGTATTTTTTTTGTCTATCCAATATTGATTTTGAACATTATGTAATGAAAAAAAGGTAATTAGTATTTAAAATAAAATAATCATTTTGGTATTTGGAAAACAAGACTACCATGAATACTACAATTTGTAATGACTAATAATGTAAACATGTAGATTAATTGAAACAATTGATCATGTGTTTCTTTCTTCTTTTTTTCTTTCTTTATTTCATCTTTCTTTTCTTCTTACTTTATTATAAATAAACAAGATATTTGTAATATCCCAATGAGTAAAAAATTAGATTTTCTGACGTTTCGTGACTTAGTGTAAGTCACTTCTTCAGAGAATAAATAACCAAATTAGAATTAATCCAAGTTTAAAGTTCTTACTTTATCGTTTAAATAGTTTCCAATTACTTTTAAATTTATTTAAATACTACCTTCTATATATTTAATTTCATAGTTGTATCAGATGTTAATAAATTTCCTGAATGAATATATTTTACTTTTAAGTAAAAATTAAAATTAACCCCATTTTAATGTAATATCATTACATTAGCAACAATGTTAATTACATTGCAAAGTTTGATTATAATTCAATTAAATTATGGCTTTATTATTGTAATTCATATAAGCTCAAAGATTAAAAACAGAAATGGGAAAAGATTAAAATGAGATAGTTTAACAAGAAAATAGCATTTTAATGTGGAAATGTTACTAGATTGTTCTTCTTGTATGATCAAACTTTCTTAACAATGGTTATAATAAACATAAATATGATATACGTAATGAAGAGTGTGCATACTAACGTTTACTCTGAAGTTTCATTAAAAAATATGCTGATTTCTAGATTTTGTTTGTAAATTTATTTTAACCTACTCAGTGACAATAAAGTGGCAGGAAATAAGACAGAATAAATAATTAAGGCAATATCGAGTCAATAAGCACAGTATACATACATGCCAATAAGAGACTGATCAATTACAGTCCCAAACATCAATGAGAAGATTCAAGTAAACAATATGTAGAGAATTCAGGTTAAACATAGTTAAAAAGTAACATTAACATGATAAGAATTTTAGTTTATTATATCAACACCTGTTTCGAATCTCGGCAAGACTCTAATTTAGGGACGACCTTTGAATGAATCTTAAATGATCTTGACAATTATTAGCCAATCAGAAGACAGTTAGTATAAAGTGAAAATATATTATATGAAAGTAATGAATTACAGTGGATATTCAGATTTGTGTAGTAAGGACAGAAGGCCTACGGCCTATGTTATTCCTTTTCTAGTATCCTTCTGTGAGTGTCCAGTCTTCTATTGAAAGAGTCAATTGAAGGTGCGGACACCACTGCTTCAGGCAGCAGGTTCCAAGTATTGATGATTCGGTGTGAAAACCTGTATGCCACGGGTATTTTGTTCGTTCTTGGCTTTTCTACTCGCCTGCTATGTCCTCTGAGGTGTCCCGATCTAGTGGGAAGAAAGGGAGAGAATAAGTTAGGTCCGAAATCATTTCTCAGTATTCTGTACATCAAAATTAGATCTCACTTTATTCTGCAATAGGACAGAGTAAAGAGATCCAGCTTTTCAAGCCGCTCTTTTTATGGTAAACCCCGGAGTTCTGGAATTGCATGGGTAGCTGCCCTCTGTACTTTTTCTAGTATGTCCGAGTCACCTTTTAATTAGAGGCTTGCAGCCTGAACGCAGTTTTCTAGCTTAGTTCTCACTAAGGATGTGTATACTGTGGTGAACATGGTAGTATCTAACTTAGTGAATGTCCTTTTTAAAGCCCAGAGGGTTCGAAACCCCTTGGCTGCGACCTCCCGGCAATGGGCCGTCGTCTTAAGATCATTACTCACTGTCATCCCTAGATCCTTATGAGACCGGACTACAGGTAATGACACATTCCCTATGTTGTACTTATTAACTTTTGAATCCCCCAAGTGCATGTAGACACACTTTTCCGAGTTGATAGGCATCAGCCACTCTTTAGACCAGTTTATCATATTATTTAAGTCCGCCTGAAGAGTAAGTGCGTCTTTGTCTCCAGTTATTATTCGCCAAATTTTTACATCGTCAGCGTATAATAACATTGGAGACTGTACTATACTTGTAAGATCATTAACGTACATTATAAAAAGTAAAGGACCTAGGACGGAACCTTGGGGTACTCCACTAAGTACTGGTCTACCGATGGAGCACTTGGAATTCATTCTTACATTTTGCCTACGACCTACTAGGAAACCCTTAATCCATTTTAAAAGAGGTGCGGCAATACCAAGGTTTGCCAACTTCAATAGCAGTCTATTAGTTGGCACCTTGTCAAAAGCCTTACTGAAGTCTATGTAGACAACATCCACTGAGTTTCCGTTGTCTAGCGCATTAATCCAGAACTCCCTTGCTATAAGGAGGTTCGTTGGACAGGATAGACCCTTTCTAAAACCATGTTGTGCCATGTTCAGCAAGTTATTGGTTTCCATAAATGCTGTTATGGTCCGTTTGATTATCCTTTCCAGTATTTTAATTACAACACTGGTGAGGCTTACGGGTCTGTAATTTGATGGAACTTGTCGTAGACCAGTTTTATGTATGGGAGTGACGATTGCGTCCTTCCAGTCCATAGGTAACACACCTTGGTCAAGTGACATTTTGAATATCACAGTCAGTGGGGCCGCGATATATTGGGCAATATGTCTCAAGATTTCGGGGTGTAGTTCATCTGGTCCTGTTGACTTCTCCATGTTTATGGTGCTAGGAGCCTTAAGCACATCGTTTTGGTCGAAGTCCACGGTGAGTAGCTGATTTGTTGACTCTGTATTTGGGTCTGGTTCTTTCTCTAGAGGAGGTTCCTGAGTGAAAACTGCCCTAAAATAGTCAGCCATAGCCTCTGGTTTTTCCTGATCTTCCTCTATCATTTCAGATTCACTACCTTCTTCAATTAGGTTGGGAATCCAATGATGCATCATTGTTCTGTAGTTTATGTACGAGAATATTCTCTTGGGCTGCTTGAGTTTCTAATTTAGGGACGAGTCATTCAGAAGCGTTTGAGCAATTTCACGTTCACGGAGCCAAGTTCAACACGTAATGCTAACACACGATCGGTTTACAACGGATTTTAAAGAAGAGGTGTTTATTGAGAGGCTACAACCCTAACCCTAACCTTACTCTAAACCCTAACCCTATGAACGAGTTTTTATACCATATGCATTATGAATTCAGAACTTCTGAACCTTTATCAAACCTCAACAAGTTTTTAAATCATATGAAAGAAGAAAAGCCACTGTTATTCATTACTTTCATATAATATATTTTCACTTTATACTAACTGTCTTCTGATTGGCTAATAATTGTCAAGGTCATTTAAGATTCATTCAAAGGTCGTCCCTAAATTAGAGTCTCGCCCGAATCTTTATACCTTTTAGACTCTTGAGTATTGAATATATTTTTATAAGTCTTAGTGTAGAATTTTGACACTCAACTTCTATAATCTAATGTCAATTCTGTTAATTGAGGTGAACAAGATTTAGTTGATAATATTTAAATTACAATCCTTCAAGTTTTTGTCTTCGAGATAAACATTTTTCTAAAGAACTAAATATTGCACTATTTATTGACATAACTAATATCCAAAAGACTTTCATTTATAGTAAAGGGAAAGTATTTACATAAAACTAACAACAATTAGGGGATCATAATGCAAATTGCTTCAATAAATAAGCTCAATACTTCCCAGTTACCTTAAAGATTGCATTTCTAATGAATACATAACGTTTCTTGATAGTACTTGGGTCTGTATTTAAGTAATAATCGCATTCAAAATTTTCAACTCTTCTCAACCCACGGCTACCTACCTTTTTGTTTACAAATTTAAAATCGTCGTTTGATTTATTGGTTACACTTTGATTTACTTTACAATTAATCCATTTACACTTCTCCAAACATTACCGTTAATTTATCTATAAAAAAACAGTTCCAGACCAACCCAGTAATAATGATTGTAGTACCATTTAGCTTTACCATAAATTCTGTGAACTCTTGATAAAAAAGAAAATAGTTCATTTTTCCATTAGTTAATTAAAATGTAAATTGTACTATTGGCTGTTAACTATTTTTTCAAAGTCATCATTCATTTGAAACATCTTTACAACTTGTCATTTGTCATCAGGATCAACTACTTTTTTCTAATGATGAAAGTATTAATTTTGAATGGAAGATACTTTGTTTACGTCAATAATATGTCTGCTTCACTATCCTTTTAAACGAATTATGTAATAAAAATATCTCATTTAACAGTAGTGAGATAGTTATTATCGATGCCATTATATTGTATTTGTACTTTTTGTAAACTGATTAGTATTGTTAGTAATAACTATTGAACTCAAACTTAGTAATTCAATCTTGCCATTATGATAATTGTAGGACATGCCTCCGACTAGAGTGCAATTTCATGTACGTATACCTGAAAAGCTATAAACTAGAGTTTATTGTTTGTGCAATTTAAGCTAGTTTTCAATGGCTCTTAAATGTGTTTCAGTGAGTGAATAAATCTCCACCAACCGTCTTTCTAAACAGTAAAATATATCACGTATTTTACCAATCGATTTGTCAGTTACTGATAGAAAAATGGTTTATTATTCATGTATTCACAAAAACATATACAAGTATATAGTTATTGTTATCATTTTTTTCGTTTTTTTTTCTCATTCAGTTACATTGGCATCCAAATGAAGACCCAGATCACCATGATAAAGTCAATATTAAAGAAGATCTAGACAATGAAGTATTAACCTACACTATTACTGGTAAATTTGGCGTAAAATTTTTATAACTTTATTTTCCTGAAATTATTAGCCAAAAATGGTGACAAACAAAACTATTTTTTTCTTTTTGTGCTTACTGTTTGGTTGAAAAGAACTCCAAAGAAATCTGCTATGTAAATATTAAGCTTATTGAATATCATTCGAAATAAAGACACTCCAACAATTTAACGTAACTGTGAATCCACTTCGTAGTTGGACATATGTGATGCATAGAGCTGAATGTCAGTTACCAAAATAAAAACAGAAGCGGTAATCAGTAAATACAGAATACATTTTAGCATCTTAATCAAACAATATATGGTACTTATCGCAAAACAATGAAGACAAAAGATTAAATTTAGAATTAGCTTTTCTGAATGGATTTCATTTAGTTCTAATAGATTACTTTTGTTGAAGAAGTTAGAAATTAACACCGTTGGATGCCGGCTCAGTGGTCTAATGGTTAAATGCTCGCGCGCGAAGCCAGTAGGTCCTGGGTTCGAATCCCGCGAGGCGGGGTCGTGTATGCGCACTGCTGAGGAGTCCCATACCAGGACAAAACGGCCGTCCAGTGCTTCCAGGTTTTCCATGGTGATCTAGCTTCAATTGACCCATGATTTCAACCAGTGAAAGAAGTAACTGAAAAACAACCAACAACTCAATCCTAGCAAATAAATTGTGCAATTAAAAGGTTTCAGAAAGATTATCACGAATAACTTAACTATGCATTTAATAGTGAATAGAAGAAAAATTAAACTGCTTTAAACATGAAAAATTTCAGGATAAGTTAGATTTTTATTCAACTTCACTTATCATAGTCGTATACAAAATCTAATCAATAAAACTAAAACTATGATTTGAGTTTCAACACCTGATCATTATGACAGAATAGGTTCTGTAAATCTTACAAAGTGTAATAACATTCTTTGAGCGACCATTCATTCTCCAAAATATTCTTCTCATGCATAAAGTTATTTAGAGTATTTATGGATTTAGCAATAAAGTGGACTCCACATACAATGAAATGTTAGTTGATGATTTACTATATATATAATAGTTTCGTATAACCTATCTTACGATAGATGTTAATCACTCATATTAACCAATAAAAGATATGGTGTGACTAAACTAAATTGTCGGATGATGGTTACGCGTAATGAACATGAAATGCTAAATCTAGGTTTCGTGTTGTTCAGCACTTGTTGACAAGGTGTACATGTAGTTACAAGTAAAAGTTATCAGTAAACTTTACCGAACGTTATTCTTTGTATATTTTAAAATTTGACTGATAGTGTTTTTTTTTCTTATCTTCTGTTGCAAGCTGTATAGTAGTAAGCATAATAATTTGGTGTTTGTTTAAACATTATATTAGTACGTTTTCCAACAAGGTATAATTAATTTCTTGCGATGTGAGAGTTTTCGTTTTTTATTATTAAGGATCACAAATAAAACTACCTTCAATGAATATGCTTTAATATTATAATATCGAAATGTATGACTAAAAGAAAGAATCCAGTGCTTAGTGATGTTAAAAAGATCAGTCAGTGTTCATCCATCAGAACATTTAGTCGCATTTATATTCAGTTTAATTTACAGTTTACAAAACAGTGAGATTTATCAGTTAGTTTTATATTAGCAAATAACATAGATTGCCTCTTTGAGAAGTAAAACAAAAGATCATCATATTACGTTTACTCACTTATTGTTTGAATCAGTCAGTTAGTTACAACGTAGTACCAGGCATATATATGCATCTTGTTCGAATGATTAAATCAAATTAATAAAATGATTGTTGCGAAAGTGTTATATTTTTATTTTAAAAAATCAATATAACTTACCAAATGTTGGGTGATACTTTTAATATAGTAATAATGCCAGTTGTCATTCATATATAGAGAAAGAGATTTTTTAGACTATATATTTTATAATTACTTATAATTGAATTGTTTTTTGTCACTTGTCAATGTTTCTATAAAATATTACATGATTTCTAGACAAGTACTTTCTATAAAAGATAACTAACACTTAGTTAGAAACTAAAGTAATTTTAGTGTACAATACTATTGTTATTTATTTTGCTAATCAATATGTTCTATTTATTTTGTTACTATACATTTAATAGGTCTTCAAAAAGCTACAACATATCGTGTGTCAGTTAGTGCTTATAATACATTAACTACTACAACATCGTTTACACCCTATCTTTTGGCTTCTACAACTGGTATGTTATTCTGTATATTGTCTCTATGAAAAAGAGTAGTTAACTAACAAGATAACTTTATTTTATAATATATCATGGTTGCTACCAATGTTTATGGCTTTTAATGACATAAGAGAATATAGTATTCAGTTGATGTACAGATACTACTTTTGATCTTATAGTTGTTTTGTGCGTTACAATTAAAACAGATTATATCAATTCAATTATATTTCAGAAGTCTTGGCTTAGTTTTCCTTTTTTTTATTACACTATTCTAAAACATTGATTACAATACATTGAAATATAAGTTATTTAATGTAGAACTACTGAAATTATGAATTTAGAAGACAAGACTCAACAGACTAACAGGATTTTACTTAATTCATGTGCTGAATCAATTCTCTCTTTTCTTGTTTATAAAATGTTAGAGAATTCATTCACAAATTAAAATTTCAGATGTATTAACATATAGATGTATGCATTGTTAGATAAATATTCTTACATTCTACGCAGCATTTTAAAAAGATATATAGTTTCACTTAAGTATATGATCACATTTCAGCAAAATCAAGTTCATCGATTGGTTGAAGTTAGACATTACCACCGTTCAATGCGGTCTAGAGGTCCTTGGTTCGAATCCCGCGGAGCGGGATCGTGGATGCGCACTGTTAAGGAGTCTCATACTAGGACAAAACGGCCGTTCAGTGCTTCCAGGTTTTTCACGATGGTCTAGCTTCAATTAACTAATGAATTCAATTATTAGATTAAGAAAGTGTTCACAAACCATTCAATAATTTCATTATAAATAGGCGTAAAATAAATATATATCTATGGAGCTCTATTTATTTTTATAGTTGACTAATAAAGAAATAAATTGTAGATTCAAGATTTATAACAGAAAATAAGGTTCACTCACCGTAAATCGTGCAGTTTCAAAATCGCTAGCTATTTCCAATCTTTGCTTCAATATATTGTCGTTTGTAATTATTTTTTTAAAAATCCAATCAATACTGCATTCAGATCGGTAGATGCCTTTATCATACGCTAAAAATATCCCATTCAACTACTGAAATGATTAAAGTATTAATTACTTAATCTCAGTATTAGATGATCAACATATTCTTTTCTAATTAAGAACAACTGACTATTTATAACAACCTAAGAAGTATTCATTTTAGATGTTGCTGCTTCTGATTTATTTTTCATATTTCATTTGTGTTTTAAGCTTTAAAAGAAACTTCTAAAGGGAAGGTTTAATTTTTAAAAATCAAGTCTTAGTGATAAATAGTTAATGAGTAGTGTACAATTTAACAATCTGGTATACTATACCACTCTCATCATGTCAAATATAATAGAAACATTTCTTCCTTTTGTACTAGTTGAAACAACAAATTATGCAGCTGACTTTAATTTATCAAAAGCATCAATACATACTCAGATGGAAACGGAAATTTATAGTGAGACAAGCTGACCGTTTTTATAGAACAGATTAGTAAAAACCATTATCAAGGCTGAAATGATAATGATTTGTCAAATGCTAAGTGAAGTAAATGAATGATGATTACTGTGTGTAGATTGAAATTAAACACTCCAATAAGCTTATAAAGGATTGTACGTAGCATTGCTATGATTGGACTTGATAGTTACATATAAATTGAGCATTGAATAGAAAGTTAACGATAAATATATCTTTATGATATCCCACTGAGTAGAAAACTGTATTTCTGACATTTCGTGTCCTAATGTAAGTCACCTTTTCAGAGTGAATAAATAACAGAAATAAATTAACACAAGTTTAAATAGTTCAAAGCAAACAGTGCAGAATATTTTTAGGATAACCATAATCACAAAGTATCTTAACATGTCAAAATCAATTTATTTTGGTCAAAGTGATTCTGTATTAATTGGTGCATCAGAAGGTGGGTATGAAAAATGTATACATTTGTAATATGAAGTAGTGGGGTTGAAACTGAGTGTGTAGATTGTGTGGAAAATAAATAAGGTCAAATGTGGTTCTTTGGATAAACAGTCCAGGTTGGATTAATAGTCAGGCCTTCTTTCCTTTCTACTACTTAAGACATCACAAAAAATATATTTATTATTTATAAAGGTTCTTCACTGAAAGTTAACATATATAACAAAAAGTAGAAATGCAGTTAATTATAATCTAATCTGTATACAACAAATAGATGATTTGTAGAAGCTTATTTGAATGAAAAAGCTGAACACTGAAAACCACCAGTATACAGAAAACCTCCACTACAGTATAACCAATTCAAGATCAAGTTTCAACATATGTTGATGTAAGAAATGTTGACTTGAAACGTTTATCACCTATCTTTTTTTCGTATATTTGCTTATCGATTGTATTGATAACAGTTGTACACTAAAGATTTGTCCTATAAAATAAGTAGATCAATATAGGAATTCTCTTGGGAATATAACTCAATGTAAAATATACTGTCTCATCCAAACAAAAAATATCCATAAGAATAAATTTATGCAAATAATATTCCTTTGAAGACAAAATAATTCGTAGGGATTTACGCATCAATGGTTGTGTGATAAGCATTACCTATATATTTAAATAGGATATCATTTAATTTGTGTGAGTGCTGTAAAATGCCTAGCATGAATGAAAGCGAACTGACGACTTTAGGAGGTCTAATATTCATGTTCATTCAAGAATAAAATATGGAGAGATAAAGGACATCTTGTCAATAAGAATATAATATCAAGATATAATAAGATTTTAAGACATATGATCACATTAACAATAAAGCTTTGTGTATTCTTTTAATGATATAAAAACTGATAAACACTTTTAATTATAAAACTTACTTTAGCATTTGATTCACTGTCAGGAGAGGAAGCAATGAGGGATGAAGCCAAAGCCAAATCATTAAAAGATATTCAAAGAGGACATTGGGATTCAAGATGGCGGTTAGATTCTAAGAACTCTGGAAACTCCATAAATCCGGATCCTCAAAGACGATCAGTTCGATCTGGTCATGAATTAAATTCTCTCGATGATAATGCTTTTGTGATTATAATTGCAGTTTCTGTATTCGGATCATTTATTTTAATAGCAAATTTATTGGTAATATTAATATTTACACGATACAAGCGCCAAAAAATGAAACAGGATGAACGTAAACCATCTGGTGAGAGATAGATTAAGATTGAATTATATCTGATTGAATACATTTTTTCTTTAAACCCCCTATATCCTCTTTTTCACTGTTTCATTTGTATAATTTTCTATGACTTACATATCTTAACACGGTTTGACTTAAGTTTTATGTAATTTTCATCTCGTTATTTTTGGTTGCCCTTTTTTTAACTAAACTCACCTATGATAGAGAGAAAGTCAGTTGTTTGCTTCAGCAACTAAATTACGAAATAAACTTCACCCATATATATGTACATACATTAGTTAAATAGTAAATATGAGTTACTATCGAATCAGCCAGATTTTCTGTAGCATATTAGAAGTCTAGCAATGTCAATATCTAAGACTAAATTAATCAGTCTCTTTCTCTATTAGAGCTTCGAAAATAGGTTCGTCAATTCTTCTAGTATTTATGTGCTCAATTTAGTATTAATTTCGGAACTGTATTAATTATTCTATCAGTAGTTGGAGTAAACATTGTTGTGAATAAGATTCAGTTAATACATCAACACCCCGATAAAATTATATCCTTTGGAATCCCATAGTATTCCATAGACTGATTGTTTACTAATGATCCACAACACTAGGAAAATATCCTTCTTAAAAATTTTCAAATTGATTCTCTTGAAATAAATCAAATTATATAAATCGCGACCACATAAACAGCTGGACAGTGAATCAAAAGGGTTCATTAGAGTAAGTGGCTTATTAACTAGTTATTCCTTTATTTGAAAACAATTAGTATAGTCAATTAAACAGCATTTCCAAAGCTTTTTAATGATTACATAAGAATGGGGGCTTGTGAAAATTGTTGTATTTTTAAATCTAAGCAAGACCATCATTGAAAACCTGGAAGTATTGGACGATTATTTCGTTCTAGTACGAGACTCCTCAACAGTTCGCAGTCACGATTCCACATGCTGGACTCAAACCCAGTACCATTAGTCTCGCGCCCGAATGCTTATCGTCTAGACCACTCAGCCGACGTGCAATTGTGTTAATGTCTAATTTCAATCGGTTCATGATCTTGCGCAACCAATGTGCTCACTAGTGACTGGTTTCAAGATGGACTTCCTGGAGTATTAATGAGAAGTCGTGACCAGCGGAGTTCAATCCGTGTCGGGTAAAGACAGGTATCTACCTCAGACAATGGATGAATGGTTGATCAGGATCATGGATCGATTGAAATTAGACATTAACACAATTGCACGTCGGCTGAGTGGTCTAGACGATAAGCATTCAGGCGCGAGACTAATGGTACTGGGTTTGAGTCCAGCATGTGGAATCGTGACTGCGAACTGTTGAGGAGTCTCGTACTAGAACGAAATAATCGTCCAATACTTCCAGGTTTTCAATGATGGTCTAGCTTAGATCGGCTCATGAATTCAACTATTGAGCTTACATAAGAGTCTACTCTCTTAAATGTTGTTAATATATGATTATAGTCGAAACAGAAAACATCTAAAATCACGATTCTCATTCTTACCCTATTAAGACCACCAAAAGAAGTCAATTTTAGAAAAATTTCGGTTTATCAAATCAACTGACGTTTAATCAAAATGCCACAGTAACTGTCTTGCAATTAAAATCAACTTAAATAACACAAAAGATTGAAATTATTGAAGCAAATATTAATTTAGTGCTCTCTGAAAAAATCGGTGAAGCTGATAGCAATTAAGATTTTTATGTCAGAGACTATATGAAGATATAATGTGCATACTTGTCAAGTTTGAATACTTAATCCAAAAAACCAAGCGTTCGATTTTTCAGGAATTAGTTTCTTTTCATACTACGATCAGAAAACTTGAAAGTACTTAACGATCCAAACAATAGAGATCTACCGTTTGTCAGGCAGCGTAAAAACAACAATGAAATGTGACGATAAATGAGGAAATGTGTTAAAACGAGCACAGAATCCAAATTTAAAAAGGAATCTGATCACTTATCCATTCTTGGATCAAAAAATACTTACAATGATGTCCATCATTTAGAAATTCATGAATTCGAACATCATTAACTTAATTGCAGTTACATTTACTGTAAATATTTAATAAAAGTAGGATCTTTAAAAATGCCATTTCAGTTACATTTACCGTTTTAAATATATTATGTTAGTAAAATTTATGTGCGATTAAAAATACTAACTATCTACTGAAATAGGATTATGCTTACTTGATGGGGATATTACAGAAGCTAAATTTATCATATCCTCATCATCATGTTGGCCAATCGATCTCATTGATTTATTATGAAAAGTTATGAATAGTGATCGCAAGTTCTTCTACTCATCTGAGTTAGAATAGGATTAGGACATACTCCAACGGTAAATTAAATGATTGAATGACTTCACATAAAAAATGAACAAACATGTAAACTGCCATTAACTGTAAGCCAGTATGAAGTATGTATGATGTGTATTTGTTTATTAAAAAATTACTTACTTTATTGGCATATATATTAAATAACTTTTATCTATTTTTTCAGCTGCGGGGGACCTTATGCAAATATACCCAGTAGAAAATGGTTTCTCAGAAATACACACAAATACACAGACCAGTTTTCCAATGTATCCAGACGATATGCGTTTAAATGCCAGTTACATGTTGCAGTCAGTACCACATGACCAGGTAACAAATGAGGTTATAAATGAAATATACTAATTAGATTAAAACACATTTTGCTACACCTGAACAAACAACACTTTAGTGTTTTATAACGATAATTTACTAGATTATTTACAGAAATGACTTATGAATAGACAATAACTTCCCAGAACTATCAATTGGTTAATTTTCATAGTTTGGGAATAAACCGAATGAATATACAAAGAACCAAAATAAAACATTATTATAACACTGACTATATACTTCACTGATAAACTCAAAATCTGAGGAAAATACTTACTGTTTTTGCTATCTGAAGCATTTAAAATCTAACCCTATATGACGAGAATTAACTGTTGAATATGTCACTTTTATCCACGGTTGTTCTGTTTTTTTATTCATCCTAACATGTCACCTTATCCAAAATACTTTAATAAATTTTAATCGACATCAGAATGTTTACTTCAGTTAAATATCTGATATCAGTCATATTTTGATAAAATGAGGAAAATATAGGACAGATGCAAAATAATTCATTGATTACATTACTATTATTTTTGTGCAAAGAACTGGTATTTTATCGTTATGTTAGAATAACAATACTTTTGTTTGATTTCTCATAATATAAATATGTTATCCAATATTTTCCTCTTTCAGTAAAACAAACAAAAATATTTTGAGCAAGTCAAATATAGTGTAGAAACCACTCAGTTTCTCTGGTTAGCGTCTTTTTAGTGAGTTGATTTTCTACGGAATGGGGTCACTAACCCCATGCCCAACCCTTCTCCTTTATCCAGGCTTGGGACCGACAGTAGCCGCAGAGGTGCTCCAGGCGGAGGTTTTAGTTTTGATCTTTGCTTAACATTATCTGAAATCATCGACTAGATTATCATACAAATCTTAATGGTGAAAAGGAAATCACTTGTTATTAAATTTATAGACTTAAAGCTTTATCGACAGAAATTGTTCCATATTTACAAAGAAAAGATTTTCAAAGCCAAATACTTTAATGTAGAATAAATAACTGCTTTATTTTAAAACAGAAATATTTCAATTCGAAGGTAATTTTTAAGAATAAACTTTTCCTTGATATTGTCCTTGGGAATATTTTAAGTCATGTTAAAATCACTGATAACAGTACTTTGTGTAACCAAGTACTCTAACCGAGTATCTGATGAGGTAAAAATAAAAGTAAGTTAGTGTCAATTTTTTCTCCATCGACATTCGTAATTTTTAGTCAATGTTATCATTATCCACCTTTAGTTTTCACCCTTTCAAAATGGATGGGAACAAATACCTTTGAATATATGTCCAGATCAAACTTCATCTATTATAAGAGGAAATCAAATATTTTCAAGCTCACCTCACTCAAGCATAAATGCAATGAATATGCAGAACTTCAACTCTCCAAATCATATAGAATTTAATAATCGACCTTCTAGTGATATATCTATTCAACCATCGTCTGTTTTAATAAATAATGCTGATCAAACTACAGTGGCTTATTTAAACCCAGATAATGGAACGGTAGAAGCGATTCAAAATATTCAAGATTATCATGACTGTTCAGAATTTATGCCCCCAGTATTTCCCAATAGTTGTTCGTCTCACAATTACGATACAGAACAAAATTTGAGAAATATAGAGCGCCCTACACCCACTCACAGACGGCTTGTCACTATCGGTAGAACTTTGACTGAAAAAAGTAACAGAACTAGGTCACCACATTCTGGAGCTGCTTCAAGTGTTTCCACTATCAGGTCGAATGGATATGGAAATACTAATAGTTTAGAAAGGAGTCTTTCAACTTTTCAACGATCTCATCACTCGAACTTGCTGGGTGACTACAGACATCTTGGTGTTGGCTTGACGTTACCTAACGGGGGCCTCGGACTAAATATAATGAGTCAGAGTCCCCATCAAAACGGACAGTTGTTTATATCAAACGCGAGGACTTCAGGAAGCTGGATTCAAAATGGAATGACTACAAGTTTTCATGGAGGTAATGCTCCGTCATGGAAGCATTGTGTCAATCCTCATGCAAGCGGTAAATTTAACTTTTAGTATTCCAATGAAATATTAATGTGTTGTATCTCTGTGAAAAGTTGTTGGAAGTTTAGATAGCTTGTGTACAATATAACATGTTTAACAACGTCGTAGTGCAAAACAAGCTATTCAAAAAATAGCCACGAAAAATAATAGATTTAAATTGGAAAAAAATCCTATCAAACGATCATATCTGAATTTCTAACTTTGAACTTCGTTACATTCCGAGTTCCTGGTACTAACTCACATAATCTTATTGGCATCATAGTTAATAAAAAGCAAATGAACAATACCGTACTACTGAGAACATTTCAATTCTATCTATAGTTAATATCCTAGCTATACAAATAAGCTCGAAGTTGACATTTAGTCGATGAGTAGTTCAAATTCAGTAGGAAATAAGTTAACAATATTTCCTTATATGGTAGGCGAGAAACTATCAGTATTATTTAACAAGAGGCGATTAAAATCATATATGAAGATACACTAATTTAATTTTACGTAAGAAAAAATGAAATTATTGCATAATTTATTATCAGGCCATATGGTAGGGGAATTGAAATTTCATGATCATCTAGGATTTGTGTATCAGTTCGAATTAGATGCATAACCTTCATTATTTACCATCGAACACTTAAATGTATCAGTGCTTCAATACCATAAGTTGAGATTGTATCTGAATAAAGAACAATTAAGATTTATACGACATGAGGTTATAACTAATTATTCATCGATAGTAACATTCAGATAAACAAAATCAAAATATACATTTTGATAATTGAGAACATGAGTCAATTGAAGCTAGACCACCATGGAAAACCTGCAAGCACTGGACAGCCGTTTCGTCCTAGTATGGGACTCCTCAGCAATGAGCATCCACGATTCGAACCCAGGATCTATCAATCTCTCGCGCGAACGCTTGACCTCTAGACAAATGAACCGGCATCCAACGGTGTTAGTGTCTAATTTCAACCAATCTGCGAAATGGCGCCACTGTACACCATTGTCTTCGGTGGGTAACTATCTCACAGCAGACACGGTCGAACTCCACTGGTCACTACTTATCACTAGAACTCCAGTCACTAGTGAGCATGTGTTGATTAGTATCAGAAGGGATTTTGTGGACAGTATAGTAATTTTAATAGTTGAGATCATAAATCATTTGAAGCTTTCAAGTTTGGATAAACTAGATTAGATTTCGAATATGCTATGTTAAAAAAAAAATTCTTATTTTTCACAAAACTTATTAATTTTAGATGAATACACATCATCAGAACAACAAGTAGCAAGAAATTCATACAATTCCTTTGGACAACAATCTGTATCACATCTCACGAACAGTTTTCAATTGCCTGATGTTCATGTTTTCAGCAACCGGCAGCATACACAAACGAACAAGGTTAGTACTTTTAACTGATCAAGTCCTTCTTTACCACAAACCTATAAGATAATTATGTAAAGAAATATGAATTGAAATACCAATTCACTTTCAAAAAGACACTTTTTGAAAATAAAGATATCCTAGACTCTAAGTTGGCACAATAAAGTTTAGTAACAAGATTTAAGGCTAAAGCATATGTCATTTTGTTGGTACCTTAAAGAAGAACAAGCGAACTAAGTAAAAATAGTTAATTTTACATGTGTATAACAGAAGTCAAGATATTTCTTAAGAAGAAAGCGTAACAGGAAGTTCAATAGTCTTCAAAGGAACAATTTAAACGAAGTGTGAAAAACTACAACTTGATGGAACATAAATCCGATAGAAATGGTGCCGTACTTTGAGTTAAAATGAAGATAAAAAAGCACTCTGAAATACTCTATGTACGAACTAATCCTCATCTCTTTTTTAATATACCATAAAATTAATTGATATCCATCGTTAAAGTAGCTTTATGGTTAGCAATACAGAAAACCCTTGTGTTCAGGTTTAAAAAAATGTTCATGAAATCTGCACAGAATCATACAATTCAATCAAGGCTTAATTCAAGCTTTATACAAAATCTGACTTGCCCTTGTTAACCCTCGTGGTGCATAAGTCGACAACTTGGATCCTTCAACCAACCCTGTCATGGGCAATCCTATCCAGCTTTTTCCAAGTGCTATTCATCCAGCCTCCGACCTCCGGCGTAATGTATTCTTTGTCCTTCCTCTTTTCCTTTTCACTTCAGCATTCTAAGTTTGTACTTAACTTGTGATGCAGTTACATGATCTCCACAATGAATGTTATATATATCTCCTGTCTTTTCCCATTCTTTTCTTCATCTGGAAGCTGGTTTGTTCTCTCCCACAGAAGGTTGTTGCTGATGGTATCTGGTCAACGGACATTGAGTATCTTACGTAGACAATTGTTTATAAATACTTGTGCATTTTGATGATGGTTGCGGTAGTTCTCTAGGTTTCAGCTCTGTACTTTAGAACAGGCTTACCGTTCGTAATGAAAATTCCTGACTTTAGAGTTGACTGACAGTTGTTTTGAGTTGCATATGTTCTCCAACCGTATGAATGATGCTCTTGTTTAGCCGATCCTTACCTTTACGTCTGCATCGTATCATCCTCGTTCGCCGATGATGCTGGTTAGGTACTTGAAACTTTCCACCTCTCCCAGAGTTTCTCCAGCAAATTTGATTGGGTTTGTATTACTACCTGTGTTGTATTACAGGATATCGCTTCTTCCTTTGTTAATGTTAGGGCTTATTGCTGCTGAGGCTACTGCTACCCTGATTGTATTTTTTTGGTGTGTATGAAATAGAAGAGCCAGGTCGTCTGCAAAGTACAAATCGTCTAGCTGCATCTAGGCTCTCCATTGTATTTCGTGCTTCCCCTTAGATGTTGAGGTCTCCATAATCCAGTCAACCACTAGATGAAAGGGGAAGGACGTAAGCAGCGGTCATCACTTGGAATGCATCTGTCAGCTGTCCTCCATGCACGACTCTGCGGTGTAGGCCGTCCCGTGAATTCCGTATGATGTTGACGATTTCCTCGGGTATACCATAGTGTCGAGGAAGCTTCCATAAACTTCTCTTATCCACACTGTAAAATGCTTTCTCATAATCAAGTTGATGTATAGTGACGAGTTCTACTCAACTGATTGTTAACGATAATCCGTAGTGTAGCGATTTGGCCTGTGAACGACCGATCCTTACGGAATCCGGTTTGGAAGTTGGGCGTCTACTGAGTCATTTATCCTATTCAAAACACTGTTAAAAACGTTTTCTGGTATTATTATCAGTATGATGCCTCTACAGCTCTCACATTTGCCAAGATCTCCTTTCTTTTGTATCTTGGTTGGGTATTCTTCATCCCAGTCTGTAGGCACTTTTACCTCTTCCCAAATTTACCTGAATAGAACACGGAGCATGTTTGTAATTGCCTTTGTGTCTGACTTCAGTACTTCAGCTGCAATGTTGTCTGATTCTCCTGCTTTCTCACTCTTGATTTGTCTGATAGCCATCCTGATTTCTTCGACTGTTGTTGAAGTAACAGCTGTAGGAAGATCAATGTGTGCTGCTTCGATGTCTGGTAGATTCAGTGGAGCTGATCTATTCAAAAGTTTTTCAAAGTGTTCTTACCCACCTTTCCTCTGTCCCTGGATTTCAGTGATTGGTGTGTCTTCTTTACTTCTTTGTCTTTTATGCTAAACAAGACGAACTCAGTTTCTTCTCTTGTTACTTCGTTTTCACAGGGTTCCGAGGTTTCATCATTACGTTATTATCAGGAATCACCAGCGAGGTATATGGCACAATTGGAAAATAATTGGCCACAATCAAATCAAAATAACAATGACTGCAGAAATATGAGCATAGAGTTTCCGTCAAATGGATCGACTATACCACCGCCAAATGATTTTCAAACTACTGGTTCCCATATCCCTTACATACAAGTTAATAGTTCCACTCCTACCGTCAATAGACCATATTATCATATAACAGATGAAAATAAGAATATTATTAACCAAGAAGGTCCTGGTGCAGATCATTCACACGCAACTGACCAACGTTTAGGTATACCCAGAAACGTTTCAGATAATATGATAACACATCAAAATATGAGCAACTACTCTTCATATGGTTGTATTTTATAACAATCCGTATCCTGTTATGTTACTTCACTACAAAATTGTACAGTAAGATATTTCTGTGTATGAACTAAATTTATACCTGCTATAACATTTAACAGACACTTTAAAGAAGCTGTAAGTCTATCCAAATTTAATCGCTCATAGAAACTGTACAAAGAAACTGTGAAAAATCTTTGGTCAATAGTGACATTAAACAGAATCTCATGTTATGCACGTGCTTTGATTTTATATTTTTGAAAATGTATCATTTTCCTGATTGTTCACTGTAAATTATGCTATCTACCAGTACTTTATGAAAAAACAAAAACAAATCTTGAATCACCTTTGTATTCTGACATGTTTTATTGTTAAATTTGACTTCTTAAACTACGAAAACGTAACTGATAAGAGATTTACAAAATTTCGTGTTATTTTTTCTTATCTCTTTGATTTCAACTTCTTGATTAACTATTTTAAGTTCACACATTTCAAAATATTACATTAACAGATAGCTTGTCACCACATATATAAATATAAATAATCCCGGAATCTTCACTAGTTTATAAGTGTGATCAGATTAATACAAAAGGAGAAGTTATGTTTAAAATCATAATGGTATTTTATTTGACTGAATAAGAAGGACAAAGATTTTGTCAATGAAAAGTATAAGATGTACGTAAAATTAATGATCAATGGTGATATCGTTTTAAAAAGTAGCAAATAGTATACGATAAACATAAATACACTGAGAGCATAGTATAATTATGACGTGTGTTTTGGAGTGATAGACATAATCCCTTCATTAAAAAAAAGTAAATTAAACAATTTATTCGCTAAATTTTGGCTTGATATATCTTAACACTTTCATCATCAGTATTAACTAGCGGTAATTATTACTGTTTAGTGCTGCAGTGAGTTTAGAGAATACACAGCTTACTCTTTGAAGAGAACTGAGTTTAGTGAGGTTGAGTTGATGTATGCGATGTGATCTACAGAGGTTATTGTATCTTACTCAAATACGAAATTGATATTTTGACTTTTGGTAGCCATTGGAAGCTATCACAATCTTCGATAAAATCAGAGGATAAACCAGTTTTAGAGATTCAGTATTTCCTTCTTAGGAATAAATTCAACACTGAAACAAACCCAAAAATATTAAAGAACTACTGATTTAGTTTGTGCATTTACTGTAAGACCAATAGTAAGTCAACTTGCTTTAGCAGACTAACACAAAAAAAATGAAACATAATCCAAGCATTAATATGTATTTTCAATGGTTAAGATCATGAGTCAGTTGAAGCTAGACCACCATGGAAAACCCGGAAGCACCGTTTCGTCCTATTGTGGGACTCCTCAGCAGTGCGCATCCACGACCTCGCCCCCTGCGAGATCCGAACCCAGGACCCACTGGTTTCGCGCCCGAGCACTTAACCACTAGACCACTGAGCCGGCATCCAATAGTGTTAATGTCTAACTTCAACTCCACGAACAATGTATGTTTCTTGAGATGTAGCACATAACCTGTGAGTCTGAAATTTCCCAAAAGACTGAAGTCAAAGATCATTGAATTACTGTATCATTTTCCTGTTTCAACCTAACCATCATAAATTATATTCTGTTTCGGCTAATCTGATGCTTATTCATTAGCCGTAGAATGAATCGAGAAGAGAGTGAACGAAATTAATTCTTTTTATCTTCAGTAACTGAAATTTGATGTTTACAATAATTCTTATCAGTTGAAAATGAAGCTATAAAACTGAACTTCATACATAATTTATGTTAGATACTGAGATTAATAGCTCTCTTACAACCAACATTTCCGTAGATCAGGAAGACGTTCCTGTAAGTTATTGATATGTAAAGGTGTTACTTCTTGTAAATTATTTCAAATAATACGATATAAAGTGAATTTATTGTTTTAAGGTTTTTCATCACCTCCAGCCGTTCTAAGTTACAACTAATTATATTACCAGCAACAAACGTTTCGAAGTAAATGTTCATCCTAACACTGATCCAAACTGTCAATGAAGTTAGAATTATTAAAACACTTAACGAAATGTTTTTAAGAAATGGACTAATTACTGTATCCAGCTTAGTCCTGTGAAGCATATAGACTGCTTTACTTACGTCATACATCTTTGTGCAGACATTTTAACACACTTAATCTGTTGTGATGTCATTTTATTTGGCTTAATGACAAAATAACATTCTGTGAATAACAAACTCTAGTCAAAGTGAGTATTTAAAAAATTTTTGGCTAGCGCACTTTCGTCTTATTAAGGTTTTGTACATTATTCGTAAACTAGTTAATTAACTGATGACAAGTCTGATCACAAAAGTCGCAAGCTTTTACATGAAATCCTGATAAAGTGTAAGTCTATTCAGAGTTTCAATATCATTTCCTTATAAACAAGAATATCCACTGTTATTCATTACTTTCTTATAATATATTTTCACTTTACACTGATTGTCTTCTGATTGGCTAATAATTGCCAAGGTCATGTAAGATTCATTCAAAGGTCGTCCCTAAATTAGAGTCTTGCTGGAAAGTGTTATCTCTAAAAGCACGTCAACGACAAAACTATGTAAAATTGGATAGAGTGAACAGCGCTGACGAACACCATTTGAGGTAATCAATTCTGATGACAGTTCGCCACAAGCTCTCACTCGAACAGTTGTGTTCGAGTAGAGAGCCTTTATAAGGTTAATGTACTTCTTTGGTACTCCTTTCAGTGACAAACACTGCCGTAGAACCTTACGATCAACAGAGTCATATGCCGCCTTAGCGTCAAGAAATACTACTATTGACAGACGTTCGAATGGGTGTCTATGTTCTAGGATTTGACGTAGTGTGGATATCTGGTCTATACAACCACGTCCAGGTCGAAAACCAGCCTAGTTTTCTCTAGTCTTCTCGTCACGAGCTCTAGTTAAGCGTCGAAGCATTATTGAAGCAAATATTTTAGACACTACATTAGTCAAACTGATTCCTCTATGATTGCCACAAGAGGACTTTTGTCCTTTCTTATAGACTGGCACAATCAGTGATTGAGACCAGTCAGTTGGCATTACGTCCAGTTCCCAAATTCTACCTAAAACCTCAGTTAATCTCACTGCTAATACTGGACCACCATCGTTAAAATCTCAGGAGTAAACCTATACGGGCCTGTTGGTATCCCTCCTTTCAGATTTCCTATGGCTTTTTCAACTTCGTAAAGAGTCGGAGGACCTACATTAACTTGCCATTCAGGTTGACTGGAGATTGTGGGAAACCGAAGTGTGGCTGAAGGCCAGTTGAACTGATCCCTAAAGTGTTCTGCCCATCGATCCAATCTCCTGGATTGAGAATGTATAATATGTCCATCTTTCTCTGAGAGTGTTTCGCTAACAGTCGGGTTCCTAATAACGGTTTCCTTAACAAGTCTGAACAATTGTCTGCTGTTACCTATTGCCGCTGCCTTTTCCACCTCTCTTGTTTTCGCTACCCACCACTGTTCACGATCATTGCGTAGACTTATCGTCAGCTTGCGCTTAAGCTGACTCCGCTCTTCATTATGTTCAGAGCCAGGTGGAATGAGTTTCCGAGCATCTATCAGTGCGATAGATGCTGCTGAGATCCAGTGTTGCTCCCTAACCTTGTGGTTTACCTTACTAGCAGATATCACTGCTGTTTCCACAGCTTTCCGAATATCATTCCATGCTGCCTCGGGGTGGGCATCACATACATGGCTGCCTAACTGTTTTTCTATTTGTTCCTGAAATATACTCTTAGCTTGACTATCATTAGGTAGGCCCTTAAGAGGTTTCCTTACAGCGTCTTTCCTATGTCCAGTAAGACGCAGGCAAATACGCGCTCGTACTAGAGCATGATCTGAATCTAAGCATGTGATCCAGAATGAGCGACAGCCTTCTATCGAGTCCCTCCATCGGTGGCTGATGGTGATGTGATCTATTTGGGTCCAACGTTGGGACGAATTAGGTGGTCCCCATGTTAAAAGATGTTTTTCCTAATGTTTAGTTAGTTTTAGCAAGAAACGGGCGGTTATCTGAGCATAGCTGCAACAGACGGTCGCCATTATCTGTTATTATTATTATTAGCTTTATTCAATATTATAATTTTGGTACAATATAGAATTCTCAGCGCAAAGTATTTCAACAAGTTTCCGTTTCTTTCTTCTTGGTCGGTCCTGGCGATAAATATTGAGGAATCGCCAGTTAGATGTTAGCACTTCAGTGAATGAACAACTGAATAATGTACATTCTTTTCGTTGTACATTGCCAGCAACCATATTGTCTCTTATTGAGTTTTCTGTAACGAAAGGTTGTACACTTTTCAGAAACGCAGCAGAATAGGTTATGCGATTAATAAACATAATGATATATTAAAACAAACAACAATAGATAACTTGCTGAAATATCTAGATGGCAGGAACAGGTAGCCCAGATGCTCAAGCAGGCCGCCATGATGCTATAAGATCTACCCAGGTGTCTTTCCCTTTCGCTTAGTTTACCTACTTGAGCATTAAAGTCACCGGCCACTATTACTACATCCGAGCACCTAGCTTTTCGGAGAGCTTTCTGTAAAACTCATCTTTTACATCATCTGAGCTACAGTCAGTGGGAGAATAGGCAGAGACGACGAAGAGGCAACTACTCGTGTCCCTAGCTTCCCGAAACTATAAAGTCCTAGTTAAGGAAGCCTATTGTCCTATTTGGCACAATGTTCGGATGTTAAAAGCTCCTACATGTAGTTTATGGCGTGGTTTTAGAAGTCCAGGAATAACATTCCACCTACTCGAATCGTTTGCATTCGCGGCGCGATGCGATAAAGGAACGTATATAGGGTTAGTCATAGAGATAAAAGATTTATCGGGAGGTGTATGAATGATCTGGTTGTGACCAGCTTGGTCTCGTGTGTTGTTATGAATATGACAGCAGATGTCACTTCCCGGCTTTCCACACTATGGAAACGTATTTCTTGAGCAACCTTAAAAGAAAATCGTATTAGTGTTGGTCTTAACGACCTGGGAGCATGATCGCGGAGCCCAACGGACAACTGCTTGAGGCCAGTCACTCACAGCGTTCTTGTGGAAAGTTTTTAATGTGTTAACTCCGTTCTTCAAAGGGCTTTACCTCCGGGGACGGCAGCATTGCTGTAGATGCTGGTTGTCTGATAAAAACGCCTGACTGTTCTCACGCCCCTCTACAGTCAGCCGTACGACTTCACCCTCAGAACTTCGGTTGCTGCTTCTAGTCTTACCGTTCTCCAATCGACCCGCTTGACATGGTAGAAAGTACAGGAACATATGTTCCAGCCAGTACATCTTGGTTGGGACATCACGAAAGGCAAACCCAACCACCGCGTCAAGGTAGCAGATACCGTGGGGTCAACCGGCACTGGCAGTCTTGCGAGAACTCTAAGTCCTTACTGGTCCTTATCGCATGGCCCCTCCCGTTGGGTTCAGAATGCAATCTAGGCCTCCACTGTATGAACAATCTATTTCAGATGTACGTAGTCTATATACAAGCAAACCAGTCAGCATTACCCCGTAAAATAAAAAAT